ACGTGACAGAGGAAACAGCTTCAATCTCCCAATTAAGAAGACAGAAAATATAACATGTCAAATAACACAACACCTCGATACGATAAGAAAAGAAATCGCATAAAATTTGTAAAAGTGTCGTCTCGTTACTTGGGCATTATATCAATCTATAATACCTTCCACTTCCCTAGTCGTGGTGTCTTGAGTCAACTGTGCAATAATAGGTACCTACCTCTAGGTAGGTAGGTAAGTAAATTTCATCCGTCACATCACCTGTGACGATAGGTGATAGAAGCTTTTCAAATTCACCAAATCCAATCCATAAAACCATCCTTCCCAAAGCGTTTTACCGAAAATTTAGCGTAAGTGAACTAAGTACTACCTAGGTATATAGCTCATCTACCAGTCTCCTCTGTGAACAATCACCTAGGAACCAACTAATCCCAAACATACCTACTAAATAGTCACAGCGCCCATACGTTCGCTCGAATATCCAGCCACGCTATAAGGTTAGCCACACCTCCCCTTCAGTTCAGTAACTCCTCTCTCGATGTGATATACCGCATGGCAAAGTTAATGAAGAAGCTTACTTCAATCTCAACATGGAAGGATGAGTCATTGCTGTACGTCCTCTCCCCGCAAATATATGTCATTACCTAGGGGCGCAACATTATGAGTGTATTCATCTCTTGAGGATGCACATGCTATAGAGGTGAACCTAGGTAGGTAGGTACGCATGACACGCGATGGTGGTTCATGAGGCATCTAGAGTAACCCTTTCGAGAGGGGACAGAGCTTTCACGTCAGTTCCCCAACAATCGTGTATCATCGATAACAGCTCTAACCCTTACGCTTGCTGAACATCCTAACGAATACCTATCGGATTTGGCTGGGGCCGAGAACATGGTATTAATGTTGGCATGATATAAACGAATAGCTGCTAATCCAATATTCTCTAGTGCCAAAAGCTAGCTACCTACTTAACGTGTGAATAACCCGAGAGTTGTCCAGTATCAAATAAACCCAGCTCCTTCATCTACACCTAGGCAGGCAACAAACAAAATGCTAAACAAGCCATATTCACTTACGAGTCATATAGTTACCCTAAATAAAATAACGTCATGGCTGTTGGTAAGAGTAGGAAAGGGATCCTATCGCTCTTCTAAGGCAACTAAAACTCGTGAAAGCGACCTCCTTTGATAGCGGTGCCTTGGTCAGGAACATACTAGGCCAAGAAAGACTCGCCTGGTTCCTAACGTATTATAGGAGGCCATAAAGCTAGTGGTTGGAAGCGTTGAGAACTATCTTAGTGGACACTTGGTTCATCACGCATGTGTTAGGTAATACTACCTGCTAGGTAGTCGTAGGCAGGTAGGCAGGTATACATAGAATATTTGGGCAGACAAGCAATGGGAAGCTCATCATATGTATGATTTGCCTTCGAGATTGTCCTAGATCTCATCCGAGAGCAGGTAGAAGGGCTTACTACGCTGAGTGTTCATGGACACCGTCGTACCATCGTTTATACTACCCACTCAGGGGGCAAATAGACCTACATAAGTCCTAGGTCACCGCCACCAAATAGAACTCGGCCACCTCGATGATGGGGGGTTAATGAGATACCTAGGTAATCAAGTGAGTCATTCCATAGGTCGCATGGGGATTTCTATAGAATGATATAGCATATCGAAGTAACCTGTCATGACGCAGCTGTCTGAATATTGTTAAACCTAGATTTGAAGATCTATGAAGACGCTATCTTCGAAACTCTTCAACATTATTTAGTGATCCTAGTGTTGATATTATAAGATTACTTGGTTATACCAGCACTTTCTGAACTCGATCCATATATGTGATCATTTCTATCTGCCTGCTGTTGAAGGCTCGTTACTTGATCGCTAGGATAAGTACCTACAGTAGGTACCTATCGACTGGTCAATAGGAGTCAAAGCAAGGGTTATTTTCCAGGGCACCAAATCACGATCTGGTTTAACGTATGATGTGGTTAAGGGCTGTATCTTGTGCTGCGTACCTACCTAATACTACTTCTCTCTTTCTTTAATGCCACAAGTGCTTCCCATAAAGCTATGACCTTTCCTTGTGACCCTTTGTGAACATGGAAAGTCTCGACAACTCTATGAGTGATCCATGGATGCAATTTATCGTAAAAATTGGGTGGGTATTAGAGAATTCTTTCGAGGGACATCTTACAAGTAAGATCAAACCTTGACGTAATGTTTTAAATATGTTTTGCGGCTATCATACCTAGGTACATATGCCCTGAAGTGTGTATTGAGTCTCGTTGAATGTGAAAATAAACTACTTACTCTTGACCAGCAACTGGGTCTCAGCTCATGATCAACGCTTACACGTAGGCTCTCGGACCGACTGCCATAAACTGGTAGTGCAGCAATGCAGATAGGTACCTAGGTATATTGGGTACCAGGCAACCAATTCGTCAGCGGGCATTGCCGTAGCATGGGTCTAGTCCTAACTTTGAGTCGCCCATCACATTCGTCAAGTCCAGCCGATTCCCGAGGTTTACCATGGATAGAGTAAAGTGCTGTGCGGAAAGTATCTCGTTAGAGGTGATTTAAAAGATAGGTGTATGGTTATCGTGTTGGATCGGGATGCTTACGGTCTGTCGTAACCGGGGCATATCTCGCTTTGATTGCGGGGAAAGGGGAAGCGAGATATCCTCTTGCTAGAGATGGCCACACCATGATTCCTCCAAAAAGTCCTACGACCTAAGTTAACATCTCTTTAGATGGAGCTTGGGGGGATAGAGAGAACTAATCTTAATGCTTAATGCCCCGCCCCTTCCGAAGTGATTTATACCCATTAACTAATATTCTGTCGGTGTCAAGGGATCACCTTCTTAATAGAATAGATTATAGTACAATATCTACTAAGGATTGATAGAATAGCAGATCATACTATAGAATGTTCATTCGACACCGAGTCGATTCGAGTAGTTGAAACTGATACCGAAAACGCCACGCCGGCGTTCAGCCTCGAAACAGGAATACCACCCAAGGGTTGTCTCCGATTTATTACATCATAGCGTAATTGATGAAATTATTTATACGCGTGGTCAGTATGTATTTAATGTATCGGACGTCCTGTGGAAGCTCCAAGTTCTAAGGAATGTTGATATCATGATATCGGTCTACCTCTTTCATTCATGCTAGTGGATGGCGCGGCCGTATTGCTATCGAATCGACACGAACTTTGATCCTTTGAGCCGCAATGCCGACAGGCGGCACAGTGTAAGAACTTAGATAATATATATTATGGATATATGCCTATATCTTTTCATTCGGTGGAGATCGTCTTCTTGCATGTCGCTAGGTAGGTAGGTAATTGTCTTAAATGGCTGTGCTATTAGTCGACCGAGATTACCGTTGAGCGGATCCTCGGTCGTGCCCCTCCCCCCCAAAGAGAAAAAAAAGTTCTTGGTAACAAAAAGGATTTCGGTATCTTGCTTTAGCTCCTATCCACGATCTAAAGTTGCACCCGGTATTGTCATCCTTCTCTCGGCATCGGATACAACCCATATGGAAGGTGTGCGATCACACATGGTATCTTTGCGTATTTACGAACCCTGCTGGACTCTGGGTAGAGACCTCTGAAGACGCCTATGTAATATGACGTGAGATCCTTCGGTCAATCAAGCAAGATCCTATTCGGTCGTGAAAGTAACGGTCCGTCGCCAAACCCCTGGTCGTTGAATATCATAGCTTAGGTAGGTACTAGTAGATAAACATATTTCCTTATCCGAATAGAAAAAGGCATAAGTTACGTCTAGGTAATAGATGAACGTGATCAACGCAGGGGTTGTTTGCTTGAGATGATTTCCAAGGATGGAGATGCAAGGGGTCCTATGCACAACGATTAATTAAATGCAGCCGATTCAGCCCTAAACCCATTCGGAAGCATTGACGCGGAACATGGGGTTAAACCATTCTATTCCTGATTTAGAGGATCGGTGAGCTGTCACATCTGTCAAGTTGCTTCCGTCGGGGCTGTCTCCCTGTTTGCGTATTTAGGGGCATCATGGGGTGCCTTAAGGCGTACAGAATGACAAATTGGCTAATTCGTCTTAATAAATTTACGGACCGATCAAGAATGGCGAGAAATCCTGCGTACGACGGACCACGGTATCCGGGGGAGATCTTTTGTTTCCAAGATTGAGCGTCGTATAGGTAGGTAGGTAGATGTAATTATCTGCCTAGAGTAAGCAAGTTCCTTACATTACATTGTAGCCCTGGAGCATAGCGAGTGTCCCTGAGTTCCCCGGAGATTAATAGTTCGCATAAGGATCCATATTGAAAAAAAGAACGGCCTCGCATTTCGCCGGTTAATCTAAGTGACGTCAACAACGCCGACGTCGACTAGCAACGCAACGTCTTTCGCATGAATGGATTTGTTTCGGTGTTGGTGTAAAAGTGGCTGAGCCTCACCCTGAAAACCAACATTGGCTGTTATTTTTCCGCGAACTAATGATCGCGCCGCGACACTAAGAACTCCCTCGGTGTAGCCGAAGCCACTCCACGAAGTAAGCGAGGGATTTTAAGAAGGACAGGAAAAATTTCCTCCAGAGGGTCCGACAGCGCGCCGTGAAAAAAAGTGGTGATAAAAATAGACAGAAAAAAAAAGAAAGAGGGAAAGTGACTTTTCTAAACATTAAAAACTTTTGCAAGCTGACGATTCTTGATATGCCAGGAAGTAAAAAAATATATAGGTACATAAACGTAAGAGAAAGGAACAAAGAAATGGTCGTAATAGGCGTGAGCAAAATAGTACCGTCCTCTCCAATCCAAGTTACCACTGTCGCGAAACAGGTATATCCTTTTTCCAATTATGACCGCCCAATGTAGAAAAGATCCCAGAATGATATATCGAACCCCCCCTAGAGACATGCTGAAATCTTGCCTAGAGAAGTTGCCAAGATAGACTGACCCATATTCATCGGAGCTCCTCCGGTTCCTCCGGGATAGCTACTTGCGCCGCGGTCTTCTGGAATATTTCGAAGCCTATACCGCTTCTCCCTTTCGGAATCTCGAAGCTGACCCAGTGTTTCGAGCGGAAAAAAAAACACAGTTCTGATTAGGTAGGTAGTTATCGACGATGTTCAGGGGGGACGTTATCGCCGTAAAAGCCTCCTTGGCTACCAGATGCTAGGCAGGCTAAGCAGACGCCGCCGCCGTAGACACGGGTATGCCGCTTCCAACCAGCACCTGAATCGTCCATCACCGAGATGATCTCGCCCTTTACGTCGATCTCCCTATGGTTAGAATCGAGTGACTCGTGCGGCGCAAGAGGCAAGATCGGACTTGACGACGGGAACGAACTTGGTGGAAAGGATGCTTCACCATGTTCGGAATCTGAATGAGCGGAGCCCAAAGGCAATACCTTCGTATAAGATCTTCTTCTTGGGATGGAAGGCGAGTCCTGGTCATGCGGCAACGCAGTAGACATCGATCCTGGCGAAGGCGAGAGTGTGTAGTCCGGATTCGGCTGGTGAAAGAAGCTCGTGTCCAGATCACCCATGCTCGACGCTGCAACGCTTAACCGGCGATCCTGAAAAGTATAAACTCCTGTCGAAAGAACAGGTGGTGTTAGTGGCAGTGGAGGTGGTGGGCCAGATTTGAGAGTCAGTGGCATGCCTGCGTCTAAGCTCATGGAGGCTGTCCGCTCTTCCTCAGGGGTCTCTCCCTTAGCTCTCTCCTTAGATCCATCCCGTTCACGTTTGTCTTCCCCGTCATGTAAATTTTCGGCCGCCCTCAACTGAGAGATTCCCGATGGCTGGTTAACTGACATGATATCGTTGTAAAAGGCGTTTCCACGTGACTTCTCTGAGATCCAAAGAGGCTTGAGGGTAGTCGGACCAGCATCTGGCTTACCAGTGTAGGTCGGGAGGGAAGTCTTATATCTTCTCTTGTGTATGCGTAGTGCTACACCGAGGAAGATGAGTGCCAGGAATGTAAGCGCGACTCCAGATAAGAGCCGCAGCTGGGTTCCCGGCATTGCATATAAGGTAGTGTTACCATGGGTATCCTGCAGAGGGAGATTGACAGCGGGCATGGTTGCTGATTAGGGAAACTAAATAACAAGGTGTGCTTTCTGTGCCGTCTGGGGTCGGGCCTTCACCGATGTATCTTGTATATTAGTAAATGGAAGCTCGGGGGTGGGCCGGTCTGTCGATCGGGACGACCTTTAGGACTCAGCAAGGATTCCCGCTTTACTCAGCGGGATTGGCCACAGTATCGGGACACCATGAAATATGCACAAACGCGGGTATAGAGTGGCCCGGCTCGCAAGCCAGGGAGAGAGGAGAAGGAGTGTATGTGTATGTGTATGTGTATGTTTAGGCGAGTGAAGGATATGACCTGATAGGTGAAGGATAGGTAAGCCGCGGTTAGCTCGTTGGTAAACAGGCTCAACAAACAAGGCTCCGCAGGCCGGCTTCCACGTTGGGGTCCCAAGAGGACTCGTGTCTACGTATAGCAGAGGAGACGAGGCCGGGTTTAATGGTTGATCTCAAGCTTGCACCACGAGAGAACTAAGCTTGCGACGACTGCTGAGCGGATAATCCAGTCGACGGGGACATATATAGTAGATGTACCGTAAAGTCGATGAAGGGTTTGAAGAGATTGGAGGAGCGGAAGGGGAGGAAAGATTTATACGGGGACGACTTGGACTTAGAGCTAGTACGACTACGTAGAATCAGGGTCCCATCACCAAGACTGAACATGGACATCAACAAGGAATATGGACTATCTATGGAGAAAAGTACACTCGTGAAAACAAGCAGCCCTAGCGTCCGGGGAGGGTGTGAGTGTAAGTGGAGAGTGAATGTGAGAGAGAGTAGCTACTTTCCTATTAAAGACCCCGCTATCCTTCGCCAGTCAGCCTCAATCGAAGAGACATACCTACCTAGTAGCTGCTTAGCGGCTTGCCTCTTCGGGGCCGCGTGCGAAGAATTAGAGACAACGGGCAAACACGCTCTTAATGCATATCATTCACGTAAGGTGCGGGCCGAGTCAAGACAGGGTATCCATCAGCTTGCTTGGCTTGGCTGTATAAACCAGAGGGGGGGGGAGGGGGGAAGGGGGGACCTAAGACGATATAGATCGGGTAGGAAGAGGAGAATTAGGAGAGAGAGAAGAATGTGAGCTGGCGGGTTAGTAATGAGTGAAGGAAGGTTATTAGGACCTAACGCCTTTCCTGCTGTCATGCTGCACGATAACAAAGCGATTCATCGTGCATACATACGAAACTGGGGCAAAACGACCAGGCCTTGAACGCACGGTCGACGTAATTGCCAGCGGCACGAAATTACGCCGTAAGCTTAGCCGCTGAGTCGGGATATGGCCGGGCAGTTCGGTCGACAAGGTAGCACGAGACTAGTGCAACCTGGGATGATGTGGAAAAGGACGAGGCGGGATTCAAGAAAATCAGCATGAGGTATGTACGTACAGTAGATAAAATCTACATAGTAACAAATTGAAAGAGGAATCCCTGTTGGTCTTCACCAAGCCTAATGGGACTCAGGAGTCTTTCGGACTTTTGTGTGTGTCTGTGGAGTGTTGTGGAGCTGTTGTGACTTTGAGTAGTTCAAGGTAGACTTTTGCATGTCGTAAAGGAGGAGCCTCTCCCGGTGCGCGCTATTAGGAGGCGTCGGGACTGGGACTGGGAGTCTGGGACTGGAGCTGGGACTTCGAGTAATCCATAGGTAGTGTACCTAGATATCAGCTCGAACGCCCCCGGAACCAGCCATCGTTACACGGTAGGTACCTACACAGGTGCAGCTGTAACTCATAACGCAGCCATAGAATAGTTTTCCCGTGACGATTGTGTTGTGACGCTCGGGCTTAAGAAAGCAAAGCGTCAGCGTCCGCGGGCGCAAGTCTTGACTGTTTTACCATGGATGTCAGGGAGTGCTGGTCCGTGTGACGAACTAGATAATAAATGGAACATCTAGGTAGTTGGGTATACGGAGCTGAAGCTGGATCCAATGAAAAGCGTAGGAAATATGAATTTCAGGGTCTATGCCCTAAGTATGCACGGCATGTGAGCATGTTGCCTGCCTAGGTGTATACTAGTCTCTATTCCCGCCTGCGATCTTTACATACCTAGTAACAAACACGCGCCTACTAAGTCCTGGCGACGTACAACACCAGGTACTCTGCACCAGTAGGCACCTAGGTAGGTATGCTTATGGATAGCTGACATGTGCAACGTATTACATACGCTAAAGGCACGGTATGATCGCCATCGAGAAGGCGAGCTGGCGGGATGTATGTAGGCAGGTAGGTATGTAAATCGCCTTATATGCGATCTAAGGATACGGCGTTAGACAACGCGACCAATCCTTTGAAACGTCAAGGAGGACTCGTCTAGATTATTGTTGTACTAGTAGACGGTTAGCATACCCGGAAACAAAAGTAAGCTCGTTGACGAGACCCAATGGGTCTGCAGGCATTTTGATGCGCCGTTAAGCTACCAAGGATTTATCTACCAGGCGACCCCTGGAACAGGTTAGCCTCGTTTTCACTGGCACTACCTAATACTTATCTGGCGAACGGGGTTCAGCTGAGGTGAGCCCTACGCCGCCCTAACAACCTTGTCGAAGGTCGATCCTTGGCGCACCGAGAGACCGGGGATAGGAGGAGCGAGGTTGGCAAGTTGGTACCGAAAAGAGGAGCATGTCTTAATAAGAAACCGGATAAGGATGGGCAAGAAGTCGATCGTCTTGCGAAACATCCGAATCGTATCTCCTTTATTAGTCCATCTAGTAATGATGAAGCGAAACACGGCTACCTTCTTCCTCCACTTACACCAGACTTATAGTACGCAAGGGGTCGCGACATCCTTCATGTTTTTTGCAAGTGAATGAGTGCTGACGCTAAGGGTATTTGCGAAATGACCAGTAGGAAGGAAGAAGAGGAGGAGTAAAAAAAAAAAAAAAAAAAAAAAAAAAAGCCAGGGGTAAACCTGCCTAGGATACATCGTCTTGTCTCCCCTCTTTACTACCTAGGTTTACTTTTCCACACCCTGCTACCTAGGTAGTGCCCAGGTAATACATAGGTAGGTAGGTATTGTTAGTAGGTATGTTAGTAGGTACCTAATCAGCATGAGATGTCGATATCCCAAAGTCGGTAACTACTAGGTAGTCGTTGCTCCCTAGCGAATAATAAGCGACATGTGATCATGTAATGTACGTAAGTGTAATTCCGCCAAGAAAATGCCCTTTTGATGATGAGCCTGTCATATTCGTGACATCGATAATGATAGTATCGCGGCTGCTTTCATCCGAGGTCTCCCTTCTGCTCCACATACGTATACCCTATTATCTAGGTCTATGTTTATGATGGTAGGTCGCTATTATGTATGTGCGTTACGGACCGTTCGTGCGGTACACATGCGTTTGAGGATGGTTGATTCGTCAATGCGGCGGAGTGGCACAGTCCAGTGGATAAACAAACAAGCAGACAAGGTAGGCGGCATATGTATGGACTGGAGAAGAGAAGTGCCGCTGGCGTCGACGATGGATCTTGGTTACATCCGTAGGTGGCTGACGATATGGTGAACATGAATCTTGAATGCTGCTGCATACGAGTTACGGAGCATGAAAAGAGAAGAGACCCATATGCTAGGGCGGCCAGTGATATTTTGAGATTTGGGGGCGAAATCGATAGTGCGATTAGCAAATAACTAGCCACTCACGAGCCTCATAGGTTGATAAGGTAGGTAGGTCTGCAGGGACCCCGTGTTGCTGTGTCGCTGTTTATGGGTTGTAGCGGGAACAAGAAAAGTTCATAGGGTCATGTTCAGCTGAAATAACACCCCGGCTAGGCATCCTTATTCGTCAATCTACTACCTACCTAGTACCTTCACCTTCTTTTTATCTTGTGCCGAGATGCTTCAACTCCCGGCTAATACAACCCTACAACTTTAATCATCCGCCCATCTATGCTATATCTTGTCTTCCCGTCAATGATCACGGCTAACATTTCTATATTCGCTTAGCTTATGTACGTTTATTTTTTTTTCTCGCTTCTCCTTTCTTTTATGCTTATGATGAATGGGTCAACATAATAGGTTGAGGCTATTTACACTATTAGAATGAGGCAAAATCACTCCGTCACCATTTACGGTCTAGACGTCTTCGAGTCCCTCATTCGTCTCTACCCACCGGCGCCATGTTTGACGATAGTACATCACTAGGTAATTACGACACTGTCCGACACATCGATTAGTAGTCGTGAATGGTCAGCCTTGCCACCAACTTCATCGATTTAGCAAGGCTCGCTAATAGGATCCTTGTTCTTTCGTATCCAGACTTCCTGTTTGGCTGCAGTGGAGGCGCAAGTAGCAGGTTTTCTGTCTTGATGATCATGTTCATTTTTTTTCTCACCTGAAGTCTGTCTACAACCTAGTATCTACACCGCCTCTCTACTACGCAATCCGGACCCCGTGTGAATGTGGAATCCGTCTACTTACCAATTACTAGGTACCTATTTTTCCTCTGATGGTAGCAAAATTACAATTTACTACGTCGTAAGGAGACGCGCAATCTTAAACGATGAGCATAACCCTAGTGTGTGGATTTCTTGGCTGGAGGCTCTTAGGAGTGAATGGAAATGTCACGGGTTGATGGAAGTAAAAAAATAAATAAAAAAAAACACTGCCTACTGCCTACTACCCATACTGCGCTTGGCCGCCACGTTGCAATACATCGTATCTTCGGGGGTTTTGGCTTAATCTCTGACCGCTATATTACAATAGCAAAAGAAAAATCAAAGCCCGAGTTCCTGATTTCAATACCTACCTACCTACCTACCTACCTAGTACCTATCTTCAACTCCGTCAAGTCGACCCGAGTTATCAGGAGGCGTGTTTGCGTCGTCATCAGATTCACGCTACGTTTACTAACACACATATCTCATACTACCTGGTACCTACCTCTTATTCACCTCGGTTTAAAGAACAAAAATTTTCACCTGATTAGGACATAGGTATAATTACCTACCAGGTATATCACTTACTGATACTACTCTATCTTACTATGCCGATTTTACCATCATCAGAAACTCTCCGTCCCCCGTCCCGGTAGGCATGTTTGTAGTTAAACAGGTAGGTAAGGGGTTATCGGAGAAGGTAGTTCGCGGCAAATGAGATGCGAGTCGGCGCTTAACTTCTCTTTTTGGATCGCCTCGACTGTCGCATCGGCGGCTGAAGGACCCAATTGTCATCACGAACGCCCGCTTATTCAGTACGACGACTAGGTAGTAGGTATACATCGAGTTTCTTTAAGAGTGCTCCACTACAAGACCCCGGTCGCCAATGGTAATCTATTGACATGATCTTGCGTGTTGCTGCAATGTCTCTCAGCCCTACGAGATTTAGGCTCGGAGATCCTGTAGCGATCCACCACACTGCATTTCCCGATCCCTACGGATAATTGGATATCGAGCCACTTAGATTCCGATTAGTCACATTGTGACCTGTACCCCTTGTCCATGGGTCATCATTTCGAAGCTTGGGTTACACCCCGAATCCGAACTCGCGTCGTCGTATCGTAACCGACTCACGATCACCAACATAGCCCGTACCCCTCTACCCAATCTCGACCACAAAACGCGACTCGACCTACGCAAACCTCTAAACAGCCGCATGTAAATTGCCACGACAAAAACAATGGCCTACATAATGTCCTCGCCCATCTGTCGGAGATCCTAGCAGCTTGTTCCATGTTCAGCCTGAATGCCAAATGCTGAATGTCAAAAAACACGTGATTGCTTGGAAACCTGCGCCCTGTACTTACGCCTTCGCTGACGCTATACTTCGAGATCTTGGGACTTTTGGCTCTCCGCTTTCCACATGGCAGATGCAATGCGGGACCTAAGCCATACGATCCGAAGAGAGGCCTCCTTGTCAACCCGGTCTACCCGGGTCGGGCGACTCCTTCTACCTGGCCCGTCTCACTGGTTCATTTACGGTTGGGTCGTAAACATACCTAACCAACAGACTATCTAGGTAGCCGTCCATTCGGTTATTAAGTACATCATGTTTTTGTTGACGCTTCAATGTCTTTTTTTATTTCATGAAAATAGAAAACAGAGACGCCATCGGCTCGTTCACTTCTCAAAACGTCGGAGCCTCATGGCCGCAGTATATCGTCCCATGCCACCTCAGTCTCGTCAGCTTATCAACTCGGCGACGACGCGGGTTTAAGCAATTACATATTAACTATAAGTAACATTAAGTCTTCTGCACCTATCTACGTGGCGTCGGTGATTAGTCGACTAACCTATAGCTTACCTAGGTAGTATCTGAGTTCGATCTCGGTGCCGTACCGGTTGAGCCCGTATCCCGTAGCTCGATATTATAGTCCACTCCTGCTCACACTCTAACATGCTGACCGACTCTTATATTCCCAGGCTTATTCACGTTACAAATACCGCATAAATTGAGGGTTGCTTGTGTCATCCCTTAGGTATGTTGCCCGCGGACGTGAAGCTCATACTCTGTCATGCTGTCACTTGAGATAGAAGCCTGAATAGGATTGTTCCCATCTGAGTCATGCTCCTATGATACCATCTAATAAATCACCCCTACCACCAAGCATGGAGCAGGGTCCCGATCGGAAAAGCATTCAAACGCCGGCCTTCCTAAATACGCTGTGGCATTCTTTTTTTTTTTATTTTTTTTTTTTTTTACCGCTTTAGGGTACCTATGTTAACTCGTAGGGATAGGATTCCGAGCTTCCTGACCCCTGTCTAGGACAGGACATCGATCGAAAACTAACGTTAGCTGAATCAGCACTTAGGACCACCATATACCCCATATAGCTCTAGGAATCGAAGAATGCCCACTTACTCAATCGTAGAGTGGCTGACAAATCCGAAAGGAAGAGGTGTCGTTTGCGTTTTTGTTAAATTACGCGCAGGTTCCACAATAGTAACAATTTGCGAGGCGGTCGTCTATCATACCTTTGGGTTCGGCTATCGACCTTCTTTACCTACCTAGGTACCTTAGATGGGTAGGTAGATATTGAAACGCCGGTCTAAGGTAGACTTGGTAGGATAGTGGTATCTTTTGTCTTCCTCATTTTTGAATAGCGTCCTCGAATCCAAATGCTCGTAAAAGGACGTCTTATGTCAATCCCCTTGCCAGCTTGGGGGCTAGATGGAGCAGGTCGGTTGCGACACAATGCCTAAAGAAATCAACAAGTTGTAGGTATATACTAGGTAGATAGGTATCTACCTACCTATTGGGTACCAGACATAAACTGCACAAATCAAACTTATTTTCTGGCTACCTATAACTTAGGTAGGTACCTACCTAGGTAGTTAGCTATTTTATGATCCGAGGTTACCTACCTATCGACGGTGATTTGGGGATTGAGTTACCCACACCCACACCCACACGATCCCAACCCAACGTCTCGAGTATCAACCTCCCACCCAGAACGGCCTTTGACTCCAAATACCGTCTGACGCAGTTGCGCCTTTTGAACATTTCGAGCTTATCCTTTACGAGCCAGACGCATCTCATACCCGCAATACCACCCGCCCATGGTTGACCACATCATATATGTGTGCTGACGGTGTATAGGTATACATCTACGAATCGAGGACAGGCAATATACCTACTAGCATAAGTGGCGTCTCCATAATACACGCCATTAGAGAATGGAGTTAACATAGAAGACTAGGACTAGGCAGATATCGGAAGCCAGAAAGTACCAGACTTAGAGTCTTCCCGTGGTGCTAGTCCTATCATATCATGCCGATTTCCCAGTCTGACCTGCCGCAAGGGTGGAGATACTGACTTTCCTCCAGATGTATGCCTCATCTACTCACTGCTGGCTATACCGCGTTACCACATGTCACCGTAACAAGGGGTTTATATGTTGGTACTAGAAGATGAAGAGCATAGCTGTTGGTTTCTCTGTGTTACCAACTGACCAATCAATATCATGGTCGTGAAATACGGGTTGACAAGGACACCAAAACAATGGATTCTTTTCTGCCTACTTACCTACCTACTTAGTAGGTAGGCAGGAGGTAGAGAGGCATTTGGTCCTTCGTAATTTTAACCTCGACTAAGCTGATACCCGTGCTTTTACTATGCCGACTTCGTTCAAATTAGAAGTCAAGTAAATGCATCTACCTAGGTAGGTACCCTGTTTAGGTAGGTATATTCAGGGGTTTTGATCAGAGTAATAGAAGTGTCTGTATAAGAATAGGTTTTCTTCCCTAGACAGCCTTCATAGATTTCCTTTATAAGACAGCCCTCGCGTGAAACGTGTCTATTATACCTCGTATTTACCTACAGGTACCTATCCGGTAGGTACCTATAACTTATACCATCTGAGTATCATGAACATGAGATACCTATATTTTATTTTATTAGATTTTATAGCGCACAGTCATAAACTACTACCGTAAGGACACTAAATATGTTGGGATAATCGAAGTTGAGTCAACTCCGGATTTCTAAGAGGTTAGCTCCGTCTGGTCGCTAGTTGCACGAGAACTTCTGGATGCATACCGGTATCTATCTCCAAGCTGACGAGCAAACTTCGAGTTTTGTCTGATCAATTCACGTAAGATATGTTCCTCGTTTAGGAGCTGTAATGCGAAACTAGCATTTCAGAATCCCCCACGGAGCCGGCGCCCACTCTAATCATCGACACCCCTGTTAGATCAACATAAGGACTAGCATATTATTGCCAACAGCAGGACACCGTCTGGGATATTCCAGCTTGAGTATCCCGGGAGGAAAAAAAGGGAATAGAATAGGAAAGGGAACTCAGCTTGTGGACTCCCACCCACGTTGTCTGTAGGTGCCAAGTAATGCTGGAATGACACTTGTTAAGCTGTGCTCCATACTGGCCTTAAGTACTTCACGCTTGATAAACAGTAATATAATTTTTCCAGGCTCCCGTGTTTGGCACTTCAGCTCAATTCTAGCTGGCAGGTTCCCGCACGTGGCAGTTATCTGACAGTTCCCCGTCCCCGACATCCCCGTTTTGCGTGTTGTCATGTCATCTTGTTGTGAAAGCCCTGAAAGACTAGATCCCTAGGTATTAGGACTGGTGAGATTACGGATTATTGCATCTGACATAGTGTAAATAGTCGTATAACGTGACGTCGATGAGTCTTCATGAAAGATTGTCTTTCAGCGGGCTTCAGAGGTGAACAGAGTGGATTGGATATTCGATATTCAGCGTGGCTATCTCTGTGAACTAACCTCTGTAAGTATTGTGATCAGAAGTAATATCGCGTTCGTTTTCGTAGAAGTATTCCCAGGTAATTGGTAAGGTAGGTAGGTATGACTTGCATGATGCAGAGATATTGTAGGATATGCTGTGAATGGTCATCCTTGAGTAGTAGGGCCGTGGTGGCAATGGTACTGGAAGCATCGAACACCACAATTTCTAGCAAAATCGTTTCCATTTTAACATCATTGAATGCTATTCGTCGACTCGAGTAGATTCAGCTTATGTCTACCGTGTATAGACCGACTTGATTTATACGCAGCACTTGTAAGGATTCGGAAGCTCCTTCTTTGGTGGGGGGAAATAAAGAGAGAAGTTTCTTGCGACACCTCATCTTCTGTAAAGATATACAGAAGAACACGAAAGGCGCAGGGAGTTAGCTGAACGAATCGTTAGATCCTACCTGGCAGATGATAGTCCCGCATCGGCTTACCGATTCTGGTCAGTTTCAGCTCTATACTCCAAAAATACCACCAGGATGAACGAAAAGGTTAATTGTGGAATGCCACAGAGTAGATAATTATCACCTGCTTAACTTGCATTAATTGGAACTTGATGTCAAAATTTTGACTCTCTCGTCAGGCATGAGTCACATATCTCTTTGCTTCTAAGATTTGCCGTAACGCCAGCACGCCAGCCACATAACGCCAGTGCCGCCAGAACAGGAATCCAAGATGGATATTCGCCAAGCATTTATGAGGCGATGCAAGATACATTCAACGTATAGGGAAAGGGTATCATGACATCCAATGGACATACCATACAGCCGTAAGCTAACCTATCATCATAGGCTCTCCTTGACCATGCATCACTGGCGCGCCCTCACTTCGCTCCTCTTCCATCATTTCGATCAAGTCGTCCAAATTGGAATCCAAGTTCTCGGCTGCTTGCTGATCTAGACAATCCTTTAGAAGTCGACGGTACTTGTCGATCTTTTCCCCGGTACCCGATGCACCTAGAGCATCGACATATTCTTTCTCCGCACTTCGCTCTTCTGCAAGGAGTTCCGATAACTCGTAGGCGAGCTTGATCCTATTCGCGTAGGAATCGTCGTTGGCGTCACCGTTCATCATAGATAGACTTTTATCAACAGAGACTTGAACGTGGAGTTGGCTTTGGTTAGCTAATATGTCAAGCAGCTGGTGCTGTAGCACAGTAGCATCGCCGACCGCTTTGGTTGCCGCCTCGGGTGATTCCAATTGCCCATCAAGTTCCGTGATTTGCGCACGCACAACGGAAAGCTCGTTCTGGGTATTTGCAAGAATACGTCTGGCCGCTATCTCGGCTTCGTTCTTCTCTTTCCATTCCTCGTCGTAACTATGGGCCAGGTCCTCGAACTTCTCCAGGACAAGTGGCGTAATCTTATTCTGAACCGTGTTTGCTGCTTCGGAGTTATACGTGACGGCAAGCTTGGTGACGGACTCCGTAAGAGCGTCACGGAAGGAGACGTGCCGTTGAGAATCAGGAGCAAAAGGGGAAGACGATCGTTGGGGGACGCGCTCCTTGGGGTTCTTAGTGGCGTTCAATTCCTTGATTAGATCTTCTGCTCGGATTCCTTCAGCGTTGGGGATGTCGGTAGAAGCGCCTCGGCCAAGGAGAGCTCGTATACACTTGCGAGCATTTGTCTTAGCCGCAAGATGTAGTGCCGTGTTGCCAGCATGATCTTGAGCATCGATGAGATGCTGAACAAAATTCGGGTCATGAGTTTCCAGAAGTTTATTTAAGATGTTGTCGAGATAGTATCGACAAATTGTTGTACTTGTGATCCGGCCACTCTTCATGATGGCAGCATGATGAATGACGGTAGAGCCTGTATTATCACGGGCATCGACGGTGTCCCATAACTCCTTCATGATGGCAGGGAATGTTTGCTTATCGAAGCAGTTGGTGAAGTTAACCGAGCGCATGAAAGGCGTCTCGCCCCTGGAATTTTGCACTCCTAAGGTGGCATTGAATCTCTTCAGTTGCTTAACAAGCTCTAGGTCACCCATGGCACTGGCCCAGTGGAGGGCAGTGTGCTTCTCCATGTCGATCATCCAATCAGGCTGGAAGTTAGGGGGTGGCTCGGGGCGATATGTCGGCACATCTTGGCGAGCTAGAAGAAAGTAGTCTAACAGCTCATCACTGTAAAGAGCATGATGCTGCTCTGTATAGTCATGAGCAGGTTCGTCCCGCTTTCTCTTGCGGTGCCCGGTGGAGAAATGCGACAGATCATGGTGATCGTCCTCGGCCATGTACGAGGCGGAAGCGACAGTGGCATTATCAGGGGTGTCATCCTCGTTTAACTGTTGGCTGGCGCTTTCGACATCCGGGGGTGGAGGAGGGCCTATGACATGTTAGCATCGATAGATAATATATCGCTCGTTCGCGATGTAGGTGTTTGTGTAATGACATACCCCATTTCGGAACAGCAGGCTTTCTGGGAGCCTTGGGCTTGCTCGCATGGCGGGGTGCGGGAGGGGGACTTTGATTCCCCGGAGTAAATTCGAATATTGGTCGAAGTCGTTCATATACATTGTTACGGTGAGCGAGCTGTTCGCCAACATCTAAGGGGATCCATGTGCCCTGGTATTTGCCGTAGCCACCTTGAATCTTCTCATGAACGTCCTTCTGTACCTCACGCTCGAGAATTCGGGTTCGTGCAGGTTTATCGAAACCAGCAGCCTTGAGGATATGCGTTGCGTTGACCCAGTCGTCTTGTCGGCGGCGCATAACATGTTCCTTCGTATCCCCTCCAAATTGGTACTCGTATACGGGGACCTGTGATGATGTTTGTCAGGTTAGCACTTGATCGCAGCTGTAGCTAGTAGGTTGACATGATTGATTGGGTTGGTATGAGTGACTGGTGACTAGCGAAGTCGCATGAAGATATCGGCATAGGTGAGCGATAATATATATATATCTATGGAGAGTAGGAATGCGATCTTAGGAAAGGTATGAGATAGGTACCTACACCACTATATGTCGCACTGTATATACCACCGGTGGTGGCGTCTTTCACCATGGTGGCAGCTTGGACCCAGCTGGGACCTGGAAATTGATAATGCGGATTATTAAATTGATAAATGGCAATGGTCACTGCAATGGTAGAAAAGATGAATATATCGTGCGATCAAATGATAGACTCTATACCGACAGTATACTGACTAGGCAACTATAATTTGCATGAATCGGTGATACGAGAGGCTGAGAGAGGAAGATAGATTGCGCAGTCATAAATTGTTAGATCGGTTGAGTTGATTGGGCGACTGGAGTTTTGAGAGATCGAGGGCTAAGAAATCGCGGAGACGCGAAAATGATTAAAGGGAAAATGAGGGAAGACGCGGTACCGTACGTACCTAGTATAATATACGCGTAAATTGAAATTGGCTATTACCTACATAGTACTGTACCTACCTAGTAGGCAAGGTGGTCATAGCGTACAGGGATCTGTAGTCTCTAGATTTGGGTTAGATCTGCTTATCTAAGCTGATACTAGGGCGCATTTGAGGCTTCAAAGTTCAAACAGTGCTGTTATGCATAGGTATGCATCTGTGCATATCCATGGATGAGATTCATTTTTGATGTTGATCAACGCCAAAGACATTTCATTTTTGAGGGAGAAAACTACGCCGAAGAAGACCGGCACTGATAGATTAGCGCCTTCGATGCAAGTGGCGTTTCTGTTGGCGCTTTATTAAACATGGATGCAGTTAGAACCCCTTTCCATCATTCTTCAAGCAAATCAATTTGCTTCTTCTAATATTCAGCTCGGATACTCATTCGTTAATCATTACCGGTATAATGGCTACTCATACGAATCCCAATCTCTTTCATATCTGCTACTGTTTATAGGTAGGTAGATACTTCAGCTACGCTGCTATGTTCCGTAATAAGGTACCACGAAGGGATATCAATTCCCTTTTCTAAAGTTATCCAGAATCTGTATTTGATATATAATATCCTTCTTCATCTCTTGTGGGATTTTTTCGTCCCAATTTCGAGAGAAAGATCCTAGCGATAATTGCCCAGCTTCATATCCAATTCATGTCCTATCCCACTCATTTGCGACAGTTGTCCCGTTATCCCTGAACCTATGGGATAATACCCTAGTCTCACGACTCGAACCGAAAATGGCAGTGCCTCTTCAAATCCTCGTGGGGGACGTCGAATATGCTTGTGGGACCGTTGCTAGTCGTCTCATAGATTTAGGGAAGTCAGCCATGTTGACTCAGGCTAGCATGTTACCTGTGGCGGCGGAATGCTTAACCTCGAAAGCAGTCCTTGAAAGATTGGGGACACTTCTAACGCACATAGAACCGACTGAGTTCGATGCTACACAAGGCACCTACAAAGAGCAAATCGAGGACCTAAAGCCTTGCTTTGAAGTTATTTTGCACTCGACATCTGAAATTTTGCTCGACGTCGATCACGAAATCACACGTCTACGCCGTTACCACTCCCGGGGAGATCCCCTCGCATCTTCAAAAGTTGTTCCAGTGTTACAGGAATTTTTTATAAATGTCAGGTTTGGCCTGCGGAGGAACCGGTCCTCACTGTGTCTTATGATGGAATGTCTTCAGAGGTAATCGATTGAACTCTTCAAGTACCAACGACGATGATGACCTAATTGACACGCAATACAGAGGAAGTTTATTGGGGGCGACTATCCAACTAGTCGACCAGACTACATTGATGCACCGCTCTTCTGTGAAGACGACAGAGTCGTCAAGGCTACAACCATTAGTAGCAGTTGATCTGCATAAAGTATCAAATCAACCGGATATACGGCGACTTCTCGTCAAGTACCGAAACAAACGTATAATTTCTCAAGAGAGCGAGTCTAAGCTTAACCGTAAGCTCCACGAAGCCATTACTAGGTGCGATCATGGCTCCGTCCATAAATGCCTCTTATCGAAAGCCAAACCGGACACACCACTTGAACAATCGAGGCTTGCACCGATTCATCGAGCCCTAAGCCAAGTGGAGGCATCGCTCGCCTCCGGCAATACCACAGCCGCCGCAGCATCAGCTTCGATCGTGACGGCCCTAGTTCTCGCAGGTGCGACGCTCCAAACATTAGATGAAGATGGCCGAACCCCTCTTATACGAGCGGTCATGAATGAGATGCCTGATTCTCTGATATCATTGTTGCTGGAATTTGGAACACCCGTGAATGTTAGGGATAGAAAGAAGAATACCGCACTCCATTATGCAGCGACGAAGGCCCCTTCGGGCGAGATGGGAAATATTGATACTATTCGGATTTTACTAGCCCACGGAGCGAACCAAGGCTTGAGAAATAAGAGAGGGCGTACAGCCTTGCATGAAGCTGTGTCGTTTATGTGCCATGACCGAAGTCGAGAGCTCCTGGACTACGGAGCAGACCTAGACATGACCGACAATAATGGATGGTCCCCTTTATTTGGAGCAGTCACGCAGGGAAGCACGGCACTTACTAAACTACTATGTGGTCGCGGCGCTCGCGTTGACAAGAAGGACAAAGGTGGGCAGACTGCTCTCCACTATGCCATATCTCAGGGATGCAAAGAGGTGGCCGATGCCCTACTGAATAACGGAGCGGATGCCAATCTCATTTCAAGGGGAGAAACACCTCTTTGCCGAGCAGCATCCAAGTCTAATTTGGCACTTGTTGAGCTTCTTCTGGCTTATGGTGCCGACTTCATGTTACCGTCGCCAAGTTATCACGGTGCCCTACCCATACATATTGCTGCCATGGGGAGCGACTTAACTATCTTGAACACTCTCTTGGAGTCGGGATCTCCTATAAATCCTATCGATGACGAACTACGGACACCCTTGAGATGGGCGATGGATGGTGGCAAAAATGAACTTGTGCATTTCCTGCTAAGTAAAGGAGCGGCGAAGTGAATTTACTAATATTTAAGCAGTTTGCTATATCTAATTACCTAAGTGTTTAAATCACATTTATGTTCTTAGATAGGTACCTACCTAGGTATGATTGGTACCTAGTACCTTTAGCTTTTATAGATCGGTATAAATCAAGAACCAACGGCGATTATATCTCTTTTCAAATCCGATACGAGGGTGAAGAATTTAAAGGGAGTATCGTAGGTGAATTTAGTAACACCTAAATATACCCAGGTAGGTAAGTTATAAATAACTGTTAGGGACCTCGCTACTCATTTATCTAAGTGACATGGATAAATCTAGTGATTTCGTCTCTACTAGGTACCTACGTAATGCTCATAGTATACATATGTAGGTACATACATATGTCTTATACTACCTAGGTACCTAACCTATGTAGGTACGGTAATGGACACTACCTAGGTAGAAATTAGGTAGGTCCTTAGCTGACCTTGGTTTCCCCGCTCGTCTGTTGTAAAACCTAAAGCCGCCGGGGGGTTTTCGGAGGTACGTAACCTTGGAGCTGGCCATCACATATAGCAAAAGCACGTAATATCCGTTATCCTTTTTCCTCTACTGCTACCTTCCCCGCTCTCTCTTGCCATTGACGGTTGGAGACTTCGACATTTCTGAATTTCATAACGGGATATGATTGTTTCCCTAAGAAGCTACAAGTAGACAAAGGCTAAGCATATTCTTTAGTGCGAGTCAAGGAACGAGAAGAGTGATAAGAGCTTAAAAATGCCTCTAATCGCTTCATCGCCGCGAGATCGCATCATCCTAGGTTTGATGACCTTTGGGCCAGATGAGAAAGTTGGGGCACGCATTACCGACTTGAATGAGTTCAACAAAGCTCTTGATACCTTCCAAGCTCGAGGCTACAACGAGATCGACACGGCACGGGTATACGTAAATGGCCAGCAGGAGGCATACACGCGACAGACCAGGTGGAAGGAGCGCGGACTGACGTTGGCTACCAAGTTCAAGTATCCCGTTGGAGACGGTGCCAACCAAGCCGCTAAAATTGTCGACTCTTTGGAAACGAGCCTTAAGGAACTTGGAACGGAGACAGTGGATGTAGGTTTGCCTGGGTCATTGGTCATGACTTGACTTACATTATTTCGTACTCGCTTCATTATGCTGACGAATATGATCTATAGCTCATCTATCTCCACGCGGCGGACCGTACGACTCCTTTCGCCGAAACTCTCGAGGCGGTAGACAAGCTACACAAGGCGGGCAAGTTCGTACGATTCGGCATCTCGAATTTCACGGCGGCCGAGGTCGCCGAAATCGTTTTGACATGCAAATACAATGGATGGGTAAGACCGACCGTTTACCAAGGCATGTATAACGCTATCACGCGTGGCATCGAGCCAGAGTTGATTCCGGCTTGTCGGCGATACGGACTGGATATCGTGGTGTACAATCCGATCGCAGGTGGTTTATTCAGCGGCAAGATAAAGAGCGTGGACATCGACCCGGGTGATTCTAGCCGGTTTAGCACCAAGAGCGTCACGGGAGTCAACTATCGTAACCGGTACTTCAAAGAGAGCACGTTCAAGGCACTTCAGACGATTGAGAAGGCGGTCGAGAAGCACCCGGGCTTAACTCTCATCGAGGTAGCTCTGCGCTGGATGGTCCATCACAGCCAGCTCAAGATCAAAGATGGCAACGATGGCATTCTTATCGGTATTAGCTCGTACGACCAGCTAGTGAGCAACCTCGACAATCTGGAGAAGGGCCCGCTACCCGAAGATGTCGTTCAGGCGCTTGACGAGGCGTGGATGATCGCAAAGCCGGATGCACCAAATTACTGGCATAAAGATCTCGTATACACTTACGATACACGTGAAGCGTTATTTGGAGCGAACGCAAAATAGATAGAATCAATCCATACCCAGGTAATTTATTAATCTAGATGCTACCTAGTGGGAACTAGGTAGGTAGTAGCCAATTAAAAATCGAAAAATCTAGATGTCTATTCTGTACCTAGGTACCTAGCAAATAGACAATGCTAAATGGTACCTAGCATATATGTAGTAGAAAGAGTGATTGGTGTTACCACATAAATGCAAGATGTGATCATGTAGCATAGGAGGCTGACTTGCTTTCTTACGCCTGACTTCCAAGGTTAAGGTTCTTAATGGATGGGATGATTGGGGGTTGGCATTGGCACACGGCAGGGCTGCCAGGTGTAATAGCCGTCTGACCGTTGTAATCGGTACTCTAGCCGGCCGGTACCGGTTAGGCACTTACAGCGGTACAATATAGTGGGTAAGTGCTGTAAGTAAGCCGCGATGACGATGATCTTCATAGTAAACACCGAGAGGACACTTTGAGAGACAGGGGTTTAGTTAGCGTGCCCCTTAGCGTGCCCTTCTTTAGCGTACCAACCAGCACCTAGGAACTCCATCCCTTTAGGTCCTTAAGGTATCATTTGACTTAATGTTTGCATATCCGACGTGCATATGGGAATATCTTCGTATGCTGCTACTGCTACAACTCGCCTTCTTGAACAACTTTGACGAATAAGAAACTTATTAGGTACTACCTGACCTTAGTCCCTCTCTATTTTTGTGCTACGTAGGTAATAAACGTACCTAAGTAACCTACGTAAGACGGGACTGTCCTTATTTTTTTTCCCCGTACTATCTTTAGATAGGATAGCCTGATAGCTTACTGTACCTTTCTTCTCTTTCTTTTGGTTGGTCCTTAAATTATAATTCTCACCTAATCGTTTATTTTTATTTATTTTAATTATTTTCCCTCCTTTGGCCCCGTTCTGTTATCTTTGATGTCGACTTCAAACTCGAAAAACATCCGCCTATCTAGCATTCCTGCTCGCTTAAAACCGACATCGCAGCATTCGAACTCGAGACCCGAACCATCACCGCTGCTGTCGGCTAGTTCCTACGGGTCTAGCGTCGAAGACTATATCGGTAGCGGTACCGATACTGTAGGAGGGAGAACGCCCAACTTCGATCGGCGGTTGTCTTTTGTACAGGAAGACGACGAGCGCTCCGATATCAGTCGACTCTATAGCCCTCGTAGATTCGACATACTCAGCTCCGCATACGACTCTGAAGACGACCACGACGCTATGTCGGATAGTAAGAGGCCGTCTTTCTTCCGTCCTACTGACGGCCGCTCCGGCACGCCGCTCCTAAAGAAATCGGACGATGAAGACCGCGGGAGGCCACGGTACAACAATTCGCGACCAACCTCACCTCTCCCTATTCCGGTTTCAACCCCTTCCTCCACAAATAGCAGACCTACGTTTTCGCGGCACTCGACGATGCGATCTCGATCACCCGACACTCAAGCGCGCATGGCGGCGAAGAAGAAGTATACATATGCTGCTATCTTCCTAGTAGTATCGCTCATATCCTTCTGCATACAAACGGAACTAGGACGATACGTGCAGCACGAGCTGGGCTGGAACAAGGCGTATTGCATGTTATACCTAACACATGGGTCGTGGGCGCTTTTATGGCCCGCACAGCTGCTAATCTTGCGCATCCAAAAGTGGAACGTGCCATGGCAGACCTTCTGGCGGAGACACGTATATCTGCTACGCTCGACGGCGCATATGGTCGCCCAGCAAGAACTCGATATCCCGCGCCACGTCGTCCAGCGCAGTCCCTTTCCCTACATTATTCGAACCACGGCTTTTATCACGACGGCGTTGACGGTGGCGGGGTTTAGTTGGTATGTCGCGGTTAATATGACGAGTCCGAGCGATCTAACGGCCATCTACAATTGCTCTGCTTTTTTCGCCTACGCCTTTAGCGTGCCACTGCTGAACGAGAAGCTGCGGTTAGACAAGTCCTTCGCAGTCTTGATCGCCATTGCCGGTGTTTTAGTTGTCGCGTATGGAGACTCCAAGGATCCGGCTGGAGAGGAGGAGGGCATGGATACTGAGGCTAGCACGCGATTCCTGGGCAATATGATTATCGGCGCAGGGAGTGTGTTATACGGATTATATGAAGTACTTTACAAGCGATGGGCCTGTCCACCAGAAGGTACATCAGCAACACGAGGCATGATCTTCGCCAACGCGTTCGGGAGCTGCATCGGCACTTTCACCCTTACCGTCTTATGGATCCCCTTGCCTCTCCTACATATTCTGGGCTGGGAAACGTTCGAGCTGCCGACGAGCGAAGCAGCTTTCTACCTTTTCATCTCCGTCATCATGAACGCGACGTTCGCCGGCTGCTTCCTGGTCTTGATATCGCTAACGAGCCCCGTGCTGAGTTCCGTGGCCGCGTTGCTGACTATTTTCATCGTTGCCGTCGCCGACTGGCTGGTCACGGGGCAGAGCATGAGCACCGCTGCCGTGGGCGGCGGATGTATGATCATCGTCGCATTTCTCATGTTGAGTTGGAGCACGTGGCGCGAGATGACTGAAGATGCTGAACGCAAGGCTGCTGTCGACGTTGCCGGTCCCGTTGATTGGAGTAGCGAGGACAGTGACAAGGATGATCGGTTGGATTAGGGGGCGTTGAAATCCAATCCCTTCCTTAGTTCCCTCTCACAATTATTCGGTTTCCTTCTGTCAAAAGTGTATTTATCTAACAGTATAAATCAGACTATGTAGGGGCATTTACGGGCTCATCGATCATATCACGGGATGATCATGAGATGGCCATATTAGAGCGATACTAGACGCGGCGATTTTTCTTTTGTTACCATGGATATATGAGGATCTTAAACTACGTACTTGGTCATTCTTGAGGTTGTCGGATGCTATCATCGGTTGTTACTGGCATTGCTGGCGCTATAGAGGCGTACTGGTTTCTGAATTTGGTTATAAAGGCTGCGAAGCATTGCTTGCCCACTTGCGCAAGTAGCGGGGCATTATTCGAGGTACGCATATATATTATAAGGGGTTGGTATATTAAATGGGTGTCACAGACACTGGCATAGGGAGTGTAGGGATATGCAGTCTCTAGAAAGGTTTGCATCATAGACCCAGATATGACAAACACTAGGGATCGTTTGAATTAATACTAAAAGCCATTCACATTAGTATGAGATGGTCATGAAGATTGCCGGTCCTATGCTGAGATTGTAATTCATGGTTTGGAGGAACCAATGCTCTGGTGCCTGCTTGGGCGAATCTATGATGACTTATCCCTAGCAAAGCTGGTGATCCTCGGACTAGATAGAGGCTAGTTATTAATATTAGAGCTTAGGATCCTTGGTTCTAGTTTCTACTAACGAGGCTGCTTTCTTCCCATTTTCCCAGAGAAAAAAGCACGACGTAATAACCGGTCGTAAATTCAAGACTTTGAATTAAACTGTTGGATATTCTGTGGGTGGTTGACCATTCTGCATATATAGCCACATGCTTGAGAATGGCAAACGGGCGACGCCGTTGAACGCGAACCGCCTTAATGATCCCTGACTAGGTCGTGTTTCGTCAGTAAACTTCTATACACGTGAAGCACTGTGGGTTTGTTTGTAACATAGTATAGTAGGGGTTGTAGGGATCTCCTATCCGAAGTCGTCTGCTCTCCACGTCGTAAATAGTACGGAATAGCCAATTCGAAGGGAATGAGAATGTTAATTCTCCATGTTGTTGCTAGGCAAACCTCGTGCTATACTGCTCTGCTAGCTAGGATAGAGGCGCCACAAAACATCCCATCAGAGACACAATTTTTGCATGATACGCCTATCAAACTTGAAGGGGGGGAAGAGAGGAGCTATACTGACAATATTAGCCCTTCGGGAGAGTTAGCGACCGCAATATGGCCATCGATCTCCCGTTCAGTAATGGGACCTTTCCCATCGTCGTCGTACTTGACAAAGACGCCCTCTCGCTCTACCTTCCAATCCTTGACCCCGCTGCGCTTGACAAAATCGACGGCCATGTTCCACGCATCAATATCCGCCGTGTCGCCGCTCTCGAAAACTTGCAATGATGCCCAATTCCTTGGTTGGTCCATGGGACTAGCCGTTAAGGTTAGCTCGCGCATTAGGGAGCTATATGCTGTGTTGCGTTCCATCCATAGGTCGGCTGAGTCGACATGGTGCATCTCCTCATCGTCCAATATGAGTAGGTTTTCCGGGCCGGGTGTTAATTGTACGAATAGTCGTTCGACTTTAGGTAGATGCTGGACGAGAACCTCGAAGTGAGAGGAGAGGGGAAATATGGCAATGTAGTTAAAGTCAACAACGGTGGGCGGTACGAGGGGAGTATCATTGGGGTGCTCCTCGCATCCAAGGAGAGCTCCCAACATGGATGGAGGCCGTCGTAGGAAGAATTCATATGTTCGGTAGACCCTGGTGGATGAACCTTCGTTGAGAAGTATAGAAGTCCACGGACGAACAGTGAAAAGCGGGCATGAAGGTGGATTCCTATATCGAATTCCGGTAGGGGGACTTGCCGATGCAGGTTGAGCCGCTCTCCTAGTATCATGTTCCGGCGGTGAAAGCTGGAGATCGGATAAGTATACATCTGCCGGCTTTTCACGCCCAGGTCCCCTTGTGGTTCGGGCAAGGGAAAGGATATGGTAGGGAATACTGAAGGACCAGGCATCATCTAAGAAGAGCATACGAGACATGAACGCAGCAAGCGTGGTGGGAGGTGCAATGATGGTAAATCTCAGAGGATCGATAACAGAGAAGAGCTGATCCCATAACCACTCGAGATCGACTGTCCGTATTTCGGGCATCGTATGTCTAGCGTCGGCCTCCTTGTCCACAAAGTCCACGATTAGGGTGAATGTTATGACACCGCGATCTAATTTATTATCCTCTAAGAACTGCAGGAGAGGAATCGGGTTCATGGTAAAGGCGCGAAGTGATGATATCTTGGGCCTCCATAAGATGTGGCGGAATAAATTAGGGAGGGCCAATATTCGCCAAGCCCTGGAGACGAGAGATGCATTTTTGAGGCCATGTAGAAGTTGAGGCTTGACATGCAACATGTCGTCGCTCGGCTGATGGCGAAGTCGCACTTGAGATGGAGCCGGGCCATCGAGGAACTCGAAGATGTGAAGTAATACTTCCGGAGGTATACAATCCATCGCGGTGACGGTAAGAGAGCTAACAAGCAGATTCTTAAATTTGTGTTGACTTGCTCACTTTCCTGCTTCCTCGTTTAAGTAAACTGTGAAGGTCGAGGTCTTACCTGTTCCCGTTCGCAGGAGTTGAAATCGAATATTACTGAGATACAACAGACTCTTAGACCGTGTTGAATATTTGGTACATAGTATCCTTTTTGATGATCAAATCTATGTGTGACGACGCATTATGAAAACTCGTAGACAAAGTTAATTCGTTTAATCTTCTTGGTTGAAGATGATGTCTGAATTACGGATTGCGGATTTAAGGTACATTCAAGGTTATGCATGGGTGGTTCGGAAATCGGCCAACCGGCGACACATTACGCGGGAACGTGGGGGTATATTTTCTGATATAATTATATTATTCATAAGAGAGTATGTGGTGTGCCATCATATTCACTCTGTGAATGATATAACACTGTATAGTCGCATAACACATCCGCTTCACCCGTATTAGTGGTAGGTACCTACATGTAGTATCTGACGAAACAAATGTCTTGGAGAAATTGGATTTTAATCTAGAAAGCATCATCTTCAGATATATCAACACGCTTTTGAGATGATTCTTTACTGTTGATGGTACTTACGATATGAGGGGAAACAATAGGGGAATGGACCGAGTGATATATTATACTCGTGCATATTATATGAATGTATGGTAGGCTAAGTGGATGTGACACGAGAACAAATATCACGTCACAGACAACCTTGAAGTATTAAGGTAGTCAAGGTCAAGGTCAAGGTTGTCCTCGACCGAATCGTCTATTTTGTCTCGACTGGTAGTATGACGGGAAAAGCATCCGGATAAACATATCACGGCCGTTATTCGACATTTTTACGCCACCACACCACCTTAGTGGGTACCTACTGCCGGAACCGCCTAAGAAGTTGCTATAATAAGTTCGCAGGTTTTCATATGAAGTTAGAAGCCACTAAGAAACTAGTATTCGGTATCGAATGATTTTACGACATGACACTTCATATACATAAAACACGCAGAATGTTACAACTGGAGGATCTTGATGTTCATCTCCAACCTACTGGGTATCCAGCTAGGCCGTTGGTTTAAGGCCGCGTTCGCGTGCTATAGTTGTAGAGTCAGCATTGACAAAGGCGGGGGCGTGCAGGGGTTGCGGATGTTGAATAGCAGAAAACGGGGAAATTATGGACACAATAAACGGCAATGAGGTAGATGTCGTCGACTTTCTAAGCTCTAACTAAGCGGGAGCTCCCCCATAAGCCGAACACATTAAATCCCGCTAATCTACTTCTAGTAAATCAATCCGCCATGATAGGCAACATCATCTGTACATACCGTGTACATAGTAGTGTCGCTACTTCTATACTAAAGTAAATTTACTTACCTAGTATCCCTGCGCCCCTCATACATCCTTCCCCTCTTACCAGAGTCTACCCGGATGTTGGTAGTCACGATGCTCTTTTTAACACACTTGGTAATTGCTTCTCCGCAGCTCTCCTCATCCTTCCTCATCCAATCGAGCTTGGGGGTAAGGCGTCCCCACTCAAACTTGGCAACATTATGGAGCGGCCGGAGTAGATAAAAGGGATGATATCGTGCCTTCTTTATAGGTTCCCCCTTCCTTTCATTCCGGATGCTTTTGTAACCTGTTCGACTAGTAGGCAAAGTCGAAGCCACTTACCCATCCTACCTACCTACTTATCCGAGACAATCCGGTTAAACTAGCGCCAGTCACTTTGTATCTTGATCCGTGATCGATATGCCGGCTAACAAACAAAGGCCACCGTTCCGTGCCGAGCACCTGGGCAGTCTGCTTCGTCCAAAGGAGTTGGTCGAGAAGCGTGTACAGCTTGATGATAAGAAGGCAGTCGATATTGTTAAAGATGCGGAGCTCCACGCCCTCGAAGACAAGGCTATCAACAACATCGTCAAGCTCCAGTTAGACCTTGGATTCCATGCCATCAATGATGGCGAATACCGTCGTCATCAGTTCTGGGGAACCTTCTTCCCTAATCTCGACGGATTCGAGGAGATCGTAAACCCAGAGTGGGACATATTCCGGATGTACGTACCGGATACTGCTGCATTCAGTGAGTCTTCTTCGGAGTAGGGGAGAGTAGGGCGACGCTAGTCGAGGTTGTTGGTTGAGTGGTCTGACATTTTATATCGCTCAGCCGAGACGGGCCACAAGCCAGGTGAAACGATCGTCTGCGTCGGCAAGATTAAGCATGCTGGGAGCGCCTATCTATCCGACTGGAACTACCTCAAGAAAATAGTCCCTGCCGATAGAGTAAAGGAGCTGAAGATAACGCTGGCTGCTCCTGAATGGTCAGTTAGGCGTCTGTTTGGGATTGATTAGTGCTGTCAGAGCCGCTGACCTTTTGGATGTTGTAGGTATCATCTCAGATACAAGAAGGGAAGAGCATATCCTAAGGAGGTATATGCCAACGATGCTGAGTACTTTGCTGATATCGCCAAAGCCTACCAAACAGTAAGTCAAGCCCTCCAGATAATTGTGCCATACCATAGGTAGCATAATATATCCCCTTTCCACAAATCACAACCAATTAAGTATATCTGAATAGTAGTTGTCACTAATTTCGCAACCTGCAGGAATTGCAACTTCTATATGACAATGGCTGCCGAAATGTCACCATTGACGACCCGAATTTGGCCTGTAAGTGAGGTTTATAGCGCTTACGCCCTGCCCCACCAACCGCTAAAGGAACGGATGCTAACTCAAGTTGCGATCACAGACTTTTGTGATGAGAAGATGCTCGCTGGATTCAAGGCAGATGGCGAGGATTCGGATGCCCTTCTCGACTCATATATCAAGCTTTACAATGACTGCGTATCGTCGCGACCGGCTGATATGCACTTGGGAATTCACCTCTGCCGAGGGAATTTCGCGAACAGCAGACATTTCTCAGAGGGTGGGTATGATCGAATCGCCACCAAGCTCTTCAACAACATCGATGCCGACACGTACTTCCTCGAGTACGACACAGAGCGGGCAGGAAATTTCGAGCCACTGAAGGAATTACCCTCTCACAAGAATGTCGTCTTGGGTGTCATCACTAGCAAGTTCCCCAAACTCGAGGATATTGAGGAGACGCGCAACAGAGTCTTCCAGGCTGCTGATATAGTTGCAAAAGGCGCTGGTCAGACGCGCGAGGAAGCTCTCAAGCGACTCGGCGTCAGTCCCCAATGCGGATTTGCTAGTCATCATCTTGGTAATGCCGTAACGCACGATGACATGGTCGCAAAGCTAAAGTTAGTGAGGGAACTCGCAAACTCGATCTGGCCTGGGGAGCCTTAGATAAGACTTGCGATAATATGTATCAACGCTAAAATCGCCATCAACGTCGCCGTTAGGAACGAAAAGAGCTGGACGCTGCCTGAGTGTTTGTACGTCGCGTAAACGAGGATTCCGAGATATGTATTCAACATGCAAGTTTGGGACGGGGAACAAAAAACTGACACTCAACGATTGAGAAATAATTTGAACATAGTATTTCAGCTGGCGCGTACCTACTAATTATGCATTTCGGCAGTTTTTCTTTTCTTTTCTGGTCGGCGAGTTCGCTTCCATGACCGGTGGGACGTTCTACGACATAATGATTACCTAGCCTACTAAAAGTGGTAAAGCAAGATCTTATCCTCCAGGTGAATCAATCGTGACGCTTGGCATGATCCGCTACTTTCGTTGGTATTGTAAGGTAATATAAGTGCTGGTGTAGCGAGTTTTAACGATTGAACCGGTGAAAACATCTGAAATTCTAGGTCGCGCACGTCGCGTGCCTTGGCTACCTAGGTACCTACTGCGCAGTAATTGGCATCAAGCGATTGGCTCACAGCTTCCAGGGGCACCAGGGGCGTACCTTGTTAGATGCTAACGGGTCCCTACGTAGTTCCACTAAATCATCATCGAATAGAAGTTGACGTTTATCGTCTTACCGCCTTCACCTCAACCCTCCATATTCACCTACCATCCTTCCTTACTCTTGTTGGAGACAGATCTCTTATTATTTCTTACATTAGTACCTTTACCTACCGATCATCATGCCTGACAGGAAGACGGAAGTTCCTCCCGATGAATCTATAACCTACAGTTCGGGAATGCGCAGCGGACCGCCGGATTTAAGAATCGTGCATTACAATGACGTCTATCACGTTGACCAGTCAAGTAGCGAACCGGTAGGAGGCGCCTCGCGATTCATGACGCTCATAAAGTACTATGAGGAGGATGAGATATTCAAGGGTCAATCGAACCTGGTGACTTTATTCTCCGGAGACGCCTTTAACCCTAGCCTGGAGAGCTCTGTCACTAAAGGTATGCATAGCGACTTTGGAATATGAAGACCCATACCCACCTGGGCAGTTAATGCTGAAATATTCATTACCCGTCGCATGGTATTTCAAACTCTGTACACATGTTTTTCTCATCCACTTCGATTTTCTGTCTTCGACGTGGCCAAAGACGGTGCTCAGAGGGTCGTGAGCTAATCGACTAAACCGGCAGGTGATCACATGGTACCACTATTGAACAACATAGGGACGGATGCCGCTGCTTTAGGAGTATGTATTAAATCAAAATGCATTCAAATAATCTATTATCTATACCTACTCATGATACGAATAGAATCACGATCTTGATTTTGGAGTCCGCCAATTCAAACATTTATCCTCCAAGTGCAAATTCCCGTGGCTCATCGCTAATGTATTGGATCCTGCGTTGGGAGATTCGGTTCCTATTGGAAATTGTAAGAAGACACACTTCATCACCACCTCTAACGGTATCAAGATCGGCTTGATAGGGCTTGGTGAACGTGAATGGCTTGCTACCATTAATAGTTTGCCACCGGATCTCATTTACAAGTCTGCCACCCAGACTGCGAAAGAGCTTGTCCCACAACTACGAGCTGAAGGAGCAGATATTGTCATCGCGTTAACTCACATGCGGGAACCGAACGACAATAAGCTAGCCGAGCAAACCGATGGCATTATTGATATCATCCTCGGTGGTCATGACCATTACTATAGTCACAGCGTCATCAAAGGGACACATGTCTTGCGTTCCGGTACAGACTTCAAGCAGTTGAGTTACCTCGAAGCCAGGCGGAGGACAGATAAATCGGGCAGATGGGATGTTGATATCATACGACGGGATACCACGTCCGCCATTCCAGAACACGGATCTACCGTTGAACTGGTTGAAAAGCTGACTGCTAGCCTAAAAACAACTCTTCAAAAGCCCGTCGGTTTTACCGCCGCACCCCTCGACGCGAGGTTTCGGACCGTTCGACTCAGAGAAAGCAATATCGCGAATTGGGTGTGTGATATCATGAGGCACTACTATTCTGGAGACTGTAGCATGATGGCATCGGGTACTGTTCGGGGTGATCAGATCTATCCTCCGGGTCCCGTGTTGCTGAAGGATATTGTAAGAAATCTTTCAATCTCTGCTCGCATATAGCCTCAAGAACCTTCACATGGGGAGTAAGAAGCTTACTATTATGGCAGATGAATTGTTTCCCGTTTGAAGATCCCGTGGTGGTGATCAAAGTCACCGGCCAAGCTATCTGGGATGCGTTAGAGAATGGCCTATCTCAGTACCCGGCTCTCGAGGGACGCTTCCCTCAGGTGTCAAATATTGCTTTCAAGTTTGATGGCCAAAAGCCTAGCGGATCGCGCATAGTTTCAGCAACGATTGGCGGTGATCCAATAGATATGACTAGGAAATACGTTCTCGTGACGCGAGGTTATATGGCCCGCGGAAAAGACGGCTACGATAGCCTCCTAATAGAAGAGGAAGGTGGTCAGGCGGAAGAAATTGTGTCCGAGGAGAACGGAATATTGATCTCTATGATGCTTCGCCAATACTTCATGTCTCTCCGTGTGATGGGGCAATGGAAATATTGGGGTAATAATAGTAAGAAACCCTCCCTCCCGTTCGTCAAACATCTCACATCGCCTTCCAATACCCTACCATTACATCTATTTTGATAAAGTCTATCGAACGTGGAAATATCGTCAAGGTCGTGTGGACTAACACCTTCTAGTGGGCCGACATTGGAACCATGTTACAAGCAAGGTCAATGAGACTCATACTCACCACGACCCTTCGACGAGCCCCGCAAGTCCGAGTACGCGAAGAGAGGCTTCGGGTTGGGATAATTGGACCCCGCAAAAGATTCGGGAGCGGAAGTCGTCGATCGTCCGTGCTGATGAATCCGATGATGAAGACAATGACAAGAACTACGATGCGAAGCAAGCATTCATTCCCGAGATCGAAGTGATCGACAAGGAGATGCAGATAATGCGCAGAGTCTTTGCTAAGTGGGCGAGAATCGCCCACGTAGAGAGCCGCCTTGGAGAGGAGCTAAAGGATGGCGAGTTCCAAGTCGATTGGACTAGGGCTATCGCACCAAGGATCGAGGGGCGTATCATCTGTGTTGGTGGTGAACAAAAATAGGGAGTTATTCTGCAACTTTTTATCCATGGATGTATGCGGAATATTAGGAATATTATGATGGAGATGATTGTTATGAAGTTATGATCGTTGGGTAAGTAGAAGGGAAAGATAGAATTTCTGTAGAGCGGATTTATTTCATTGCTATGGTTTAACATACGTAATGAAAACCTACTAGGTAGGTACAATACCTTAGGGCTACGTAGTACCTGCTAGGTATGTGCACATCTACTACCTAGAGAAGTACATTTTTGTACACCATAGCCGGTCAATGCACTTTGCTGTGACTGCCAAGGTAGGAGACATGATATTTAGTTTGAGAGGAAACGGTCTTTCACATTGTATGAAGTATGCTAGGTAGGTACTAGGTAGTATTAGGTAAGTTGCCAACTTCAGTGTTTAGTGTAGGTACCTAGTATCTACCTACCTAGTAGTACCTTGTACTACTTACTACCTAGGTGTAAGTTAGGTAATCGAGAACCTTAAACCACTATAGGACCTCGAGATGCTTAGCGACGTCATCGCCATTCCTTATACCCGTGAGATACCTAGGTAGGTATCTTTACACTCACTCAAAAAGCAGGGCAAAATGTTAGAATAGAATTGAATTTATTACCGCCAGAGAAAGTGATATACAGGCGGCGCATCTAATAACAATGCGCACGCATCACATAGCGTTAATCATATACAAGCATAATATATCATCCCAGATCAACCCCTGATCCCCCTCCTCCTGGCCCGACCCCGATCCGTCCGTTCACCCATTCCCAAGACCGTATCGCAATTTCTTACGCACGATCACCGTAGCATCATGCACAGCTCATCTCGAGTAAAGGCCCGAGGAATTTGGGGATCCCTGTTATTTACAAGTCCTTGGAGGCCCAGCCGAGTCTCGGGCTGCCGGTCGACTGGTCGAAAACAACGAAGGCAGCCTTAAGAGCGACGTCACCGAAGATGGAGAAGCCGATGTCAGAGTCGGACTGAATACCTCCAAAGCAAGTGGAGTCGTCAACGGGAGCGTAGTTGATGAACTTGCCGGGGATGGTGAACTTGGCGCCCTCTACACCAAAGACAAAGTCAGGGGGGGTGGTCGAGCAGGGGAAGGTGTATCCACCCTGTGAGCTGTCAAGCTTAGAGCCGGACACCTTCTTGTAGTAGGCCTTCACGATGGTGTCGGGAAGAAGAGCGAGAGTGGTACCGGTGTCCGCAATACCGGCGAAGGACGAGGACTTGAAGCTGCCGTTACCAATGCCGTAGCCAGTCGAGGTGAAGCTCCAGAAGCCCTGGCTGTTGTCGACATCGGTGTAGGTGATGTCACCGGTGTACTTGGACTTGTCGATGACACCGAAGTCGTAGGTACCAGCTGTTTAAGTTGTTAGTCACTATTTCCAAAACTCGGGATTCACAAATTCAGGGGTAAGGGGTATTCTACCGGTGTGGTACTTGAGGTCGGCGGTCCAAGCCGCGGTGTCCAAGTCGGACGCGATGTTGTCGAAGAAAGTCTTCTGAGCTGTGGGGGTCACTGTGTTGATGCTGCTGAAGGCAAGACCGAGGAGACCGTCGTTGTTGGTGTCGCTCTGGAATTGTGAGGAAACCTCCTTGGCAGCCTCGACAGCTTGGCTCTTGAAGGTTACACCTCCGACAGTAACGGTGTCAGTGTAGACGTCACCGCTGGACGAGCTACCATCGCCGTAGGAAATCTGCCAGCTCGCGCCGCTGAGCTCCTTAGAACTGCTGCTCTTGCTAGGGTCGTACTGAGCCTGTCCGTTTACAGAGCTGGAGGGCAGCTCGGTGCTGAAAACCCAAAGGTCTGAGGAGCCGGAGTCGAAGTCCAGGTTGAGCTGCTGGGCCGGAGTGCCGATCGAGACGGGTGTCAAGTACTGGATATCGTATTGCTCGGGAGTGGTCTTCGCGCTTCCACTGTCACGTCGGAAGACCTTGAAGTCGGCGATGGTCTTAGCAAGCCCATCAGGCAGTTTAGTGCCGTACTTGAGGTAAGTCCTGGCCAGCTGGGCAGGACCGTGGGCCTTGAAGCCGGGGTTCTTGACCTGAGGGACGGAGAAAGTTCCAACCTTGGTCTTGGGAGGAGTGGGAGTTGCGGTAGCAAGACCGACAACGGCGGCCGCGACGGCGAGCTTACCAGCTGAAGCAACCATTTTGAACAAGTAGAATATACGATGTTTCAACGACGAGTGATTCCAAAACGAATGGATATAGCGAAAGATAATGAGCGTTATATAGGTATGTTCAGAGAAACTTGTCCGTGCTGGCAACTAGAGATCTCCTTGCGTCGAGGGATATCGAGCAGAATGTTTGTCTCCAACTCGGATGGGCAAACAGATATTTATAACTGAAGGCAGAGAGGGTTGCGATCGTGAACGAGACAGAAAGAGTAGGTGAATTGGAGTTGGAGCAGGGTATTAGCCTAGGGGGCCGCTGATCTCCTAGTCTCCCAATCGACGACCGAAGCAGCTGCACTTACAGACTTATTAGGGCAGTTATGTTTATCGAACGTGAGCTACCCCCATGCGAAGTGGGTTTCCTAGGACCACAGCTGCCGTTACGGGCAAGATTCTATAGCAAGTAATACAGAGAAGATCAATCACGTCTTTTAAATCGGCCTTTAGCCCATCTTGATCGACTCAGGCTGTGCGAAGGGTGCGAGGGGGATGGGGGGAGGCCGGACAGGGCTCTGGTTTGTGGGACGCGGCGGCTTGGCAAGCAGATCTGAACCAGCAGAATTAGAACAACTAGCTCTGAGTTTCGCACTGATTGGTTGGTAGTTTTGATATGCTTAATTCGTCGTCCAACGACGACCGGACCCATCCCCCCCCTTCCTGGGAGCACTCTCCAGGTTTCTAATTCTCCATACCGTCGCGCGTAATTCCCGTTGGCCTCTCCGGTCTTCACCTGGCACGGATCGTTGGATGGCTAGGTATGTTTCCCCCCATCCCTTTCGCCTTTTTTTTTTTAGGTCATGCAATTATAACATCTCATATCATGTTATGCCTAGCATGTCATCTCCCTCTCGCCTATACCCCTCGAAGCAATCATGGATCTTCGGGATCATCCTCGGGAGCATGTGAGAGACGCATTCGGGGGCCGGGCTGGAGAAGGCGGTGATTTGACGGATACGAAAAGATAGAGAGATGAAAGGGGACGGGACCGCATGGGTCACTATTGTCGTCAATGTCTTACAACAGGCTTCTCTGAAAGATCTTAGACCAACCACGTTAGCCATCTCTCTACATACTATATTATGTAGTAGTAAGTTAAAATGCGGGTTATGGCACTATGGCACTATGCAATGCGCCTAGCTGACTCGTGCGTGCTTTAGCGCGGCTGGACATGCCGTACAGCGTTGGAGATCTGCGCAAATAATGGCTCGTCCCCTGTACGATATGTACCTGAATGTACTGGCTTCTACTGAGCTCTACTGGGCTCTATTGGGCTCTACGGGCTGTGGTAGCGTTTCAGATAGGAACCTACACCACACCACTTAAGCACATGCCGTGGGGGGTTAGGTTCTGCGAGATATTGATATTAGAGCTCGTTATTAATTGAAACTTGGCGCTTTTTGGCAGGTCATCAGTATTACTTAGAGCTACTGACTTAGTCTCTTAGTTCGTGAATCATCGGCCGCTTCTACGACTGGCGGTGCACCCGCATGCTCGCCGAGTGAGACCTCGCTGGCACTCTAGAAAAAAAACAAGCCTTTCCAAGCTTTTCCAAGCATTTCCCCGGATCTTGGCTGCTTAACCCGATGGTATTGTGTGTTTTCGCTAAAGAAAATGACGTAGGTGTCTCCCGTCGACGCATTGTACGACCGGCGTCACGATAATTAAATTGTTTACCCACCCGTATTATCAGGTAGGTACCTATTGTCTTAGTAGTACATCATAGGTTCAAGTCATCCGTTGTAGATCTCACGCTTGTGAGCTTAGTCTAATTGGTACCTACGGGTCTGTACTGGAAATAAGTTAGCAGCACGTGCTAGCGATGGACGATCCCGGCAATGCTAATCACAAAATTCCAACAGGCAAGAGGCAAAGAGGTATGTAAGAGGCGAAAGGTAAACAGACGAGGGACGAAAGGTGGAGGGTCTCCCGACCGAGAGGTTCAGGGGACGAGAGAAACGCACAAGCTATCCGACGCTTATGATAGGACAGGATACAGTAAATGACAGCAGCCTATCTACCTATCTCTTGATTCCCCAGCGTTACCACTTATGATCGTCACTGCGTCTCGCATTGATTGGATCTAAAGGAATTCATGCATCGAACCTAGGAAACCCCCCAGTCGCCCAGTCGACCCCAGTCATCTCCAGTCACCTCAGATTCCTCCTATCGGAATTTTATCTAAAGAGATCGACAGTATTCTTAAACTTTGAAGGTAGGTAGGTAGTTAGGCTACCAAGTTACATATCCTACCGGTATACTGAGGAGGTAGGTATTTACCTACCTACCTACCTACATATGTATGTAGGCCGCTGAGAAGGATCAATAGAGCCGTTTTCAACAACGGATCGCAATGCCATTCGATCAACAATGACATTGCATGCTTCAGCCTAACGATGACTTCACGCAATCTACCTACCTATTCGAGAAGTCCGCCGTATTAGGAGGTCTGGTGTCAGTGCCTGATGGTAACCTTGAACCCGCAGCCGCATCGACTTTACATCGTACAAGCTTTACATGCACCAGGGTCTTTGCGATCCTAGCATTCCTAGACTTTATCAATCCGAGGATGATATTAAGGCACGGCACGCACTGACAAATCGGATTTGCTTGAGCGAACTGATCGGACACAACCCTAGATACAGAAAGCCGCAACCGCCGAGGACCATGCCAATGACTAAGATGTTTAAATATGATGCGATTCCACCCCGGAGCTTGTTTAATGCTCCTTCACGCCACCGGGGACTACGCCTGCGTGCTCACGGAAGCTTAGACCTCCCTACAACGAGTTTCCTAATTCGGACACCGTCTGGCTGACCAAACCACTTGGGCACCCCCAATCCGAGGAAATTTGAAGCACTAACAACGAGCCACACTTCAGCATTATTCTTAGACTGGTAGGTAGACTACCATTTCGTCTTAGTGTACCCGCATGTAAACATATGAACGGGTCACATACTAGAGCCTCCTTCGGCAAGCGGCGGTCCCATGTAGGTATACCTAGTATACCTACCTAGGTAGGTACCTACCAACCTAAATATGCATTTACCGTTACTAGATTCGGTTGTCTCCGAACATAAAGTGATGACCTATTTAAGCATGGAACATCTAAGCCAATGGGACTTGATTCAATTACGCGCGTAGATGCGTTCTTATAAACCGGAGTTGAAAGAAGCCGAGTCGTTGTCCGCCGTAGCTGAAAAGACACCACCACAAGAACTTATAGCTTATGAAGCAATCCAGGTATCTATTTACTCCGTATCGCATCTGATTCTCGGAGTGGCAAATGTATCGTATAAACGACCCTGTAAATACCTACAGACATCGTCAAATGAACCAACAGTATCTCGAGAGCCGCACCTGCAGTTACCCCGGTCCCCGGAGTGCAGAAGCGGGAATCTACCTAAACAGGGACTTGCTTATATTGGGCATTCCACCGAAAATCTCTGATGTTCTAGAAGCAGAGATAACATCTGCCATATTTTCACGATATCGAAAAGGCGCAGATGTCGCCGAGGAACGTCTAGTTACGGAGAAATCGTGTTGATTTATCCCGCGAACTCAGGTACCTACCTTGCTTTCACTGTCCGATTCATTTGTCCGTAGCAAACTGGGTAACATGGCATATGATCCTGATAACCTGCCTAGGTAGGTAGGTATTTAGTGCCTAAGTGTGTTAGGATTCGAGGGTGTTTGTTAGGCTCTTCGTACGGAGCGGAATTGTCATCGAATCCACCTTGTCACGAGGCGGAACCAAAAGACTAGGAAACAACGACGTTGTTGCACGAGGAGCTCCTAACTACTCTCGCTATGGAGAACACAGTATACATACAGGTGAAGCTCTTTGTCTGTCCTGCTCCTAGAGCTAGCAGCCAAAAAGACCCTCACGGGGACTCTACGGGCCGAACCCCGATCCCATAGACCTCTAGCTACCAGCCTGGAGGAAGACCAGATGTCTGACACACCTATTCCGGCCACGCTTTCCACTTTTTCGATGCCGGTAGTCCGTTTTACAGTGGCATCTAAAGTAATACAAAGTTGTGAAGGATCGGCTACACCCGGTCATCCCTTAAGAAACAGTGCTGCTTCTACCTACCTAGTATCTAGGAGGCAATGAGTAGGAGAAGGGGTACTAGTAATTCGTCTGCTATGTGGAGTATTGCAAGGTGATCAACCTTTCGCCTTTTCCACTGTATCCATCCTCTCGGCGCAGCCTTTCGCTAACCTTCGGACTTCCTCACTCAACTTCGCTGTGGATATCTCCTGAAATCTTTTCTTCCAGTATTGCCAACGGGCCTTACTCCAACCCTTCTGGACTCCCCAATTTGTGCCGTTGTGAGGATGTTCATAGCTCATTAGTCCTCCCTGTAGAGATCTATCATATATAGTATCGGCACAGTACGTGATCCATGGCTCTGTGGCAAGTATAGCCGCCTCTGAGATTGGAGTACGTTCCAAAGCTTGCTTTAGTGTGTGGCCGCCACGTTGGCGCTGGTCAAGGACCATCACCTTACCCATGTTTGCCGTTATTTTAGCCAAGAAAGCATTGCGGTTTATGTTAGCCTGGCGATTTATCTCGAAGTCTCGGCTAGACATTGGAAGATCGTCAACTAATTAATGTTAGTAGAGACCTCAATGTTATCATAGTTTAGGTAGTATGACATGATCATTAGAATAACACCTACATTGGAATTGCATCCACTCGCTCCAGAAGTTGTTGAAGTAAGGTAGGTCGCTCCACCAAGGCTCGGGTCCCAGCACACCTTTCCCATCTGGAAGGCATTGCAACTTAAGAACAAGACCAGCTAGCTTATCATTCTGGGAAGTAAGATTGTTGACCGCATCTCCAAGGACAAACCAAAAGATATCTACGCGAGAATGTGCGAATGGTTTGATATAAAACGCACCAATTCTCTTCGCGTGTCTCCATACATCACTTGGCGGTGCATCTAAGAACTCTCGGAAGGCAGCTAATTCCTTGTCTGTAGGAGGTCGCGGAAGTTTCTTTTGAGAAGCAGCCCAGATGTTGAAGTCTTCAGTAGTCATCGCAGATGTTATAGATATATGATCTATGGAATACTTGGTGAGGGGGCGTGCTGGTGCTCAAATGGGTACCTAGGTAGGAACTCCTTAAAAGTAGATTGTAAAGATGGCTTGGTTAGGTAGGTAATTGGGGGAGGGGTTAAACAAAAAGGAAGCAATTCTGGAAACTGTCTTGCCTGGTTTTATCACACGGACAGTTGCGTTTCGTTGTTATAAATATGAATTGGTAGGTAGGGACTGATCATATATTTGTGTCGTATTATTTTTGGATGCCATGAGGTTAGGCCTGGCGGGTGCAAGAAATATATACGTTGAATTTAGTAGATAGGTAGGTAGGTAGGTATAGAACTAGAAAGTTGAGCAGGAGAGGAACTTTTCAACTCGAGGAAGGCGGTTTCGGAGGAACTGCGCCGCCCAACGCCGTCCTGTAACAGCCAATGAAGAGAATATAACTAATTAATATGCCAGACTAGTCCAACAATTCCTTATTTGAGCTTGTCATGATCATAGGGTCGACAATGGTAGGTACTAAATCTGCCAACTCATCAATTTAGTATATTTGGTACTATTGTCCACCTGGGCACCGTTTGTGGTGAAGGGTAGGTAGACAGAAGCAACAATGTTAGTAGTTCAATGTATTCAAAATATAAAAACCTACCGTACCGGGACCTGCTAATACTTAACAATGATTATTTTCAAAAACAATAATAGCCCATTATAATAATTAAAATTTCCCAACATAGTTATTATATAAAATATAATTATTAAAAAGGTTAAAAAATTATTAAAAAAGTTAAATAATTATTAAAAAGTTAAATAATTATTAAAAAAGTTTAATATTTATTAAAAATTTTAAATATTTATTAAAAGTTTTAAATATTTAAATATTTATAATTTTAAATAAAAAAGTAAATAACGAGATAAGTAACGAAATAAATAACGAAAAAACTTTTTATTATTTATTTTTTTATTTATTAAGTTATATATAAATTTATTTTTTTAACTTTTTTAATTTTTTCGATTTTTTTTAATTTATTTAATTTATTTAATTTATTTAATTTATTTAATTTATTTAATTTATTTAATTTATTTAATAATTTATTTATTAATTAAAAATTTAATTTATTTAAAATTAATATATATTAAAATATTAATATTTAATAACGTTATATAAATAATAAATCGAAACGTAATATTTTATACGTTTTTTTAATTATTTATAATTTTTATTTAAATTCGATTATATATATATTATTAAGTTTTATATTATTTATTTTTATATATATTTATTATTTATAATTAACGTTTAAATTATTTAATTAATTATTCGTAATATTTTTATTTTTTTAATTACCCGTTTATATTAAATTAATTTTATAAAGTTAATTTCGTTAAATAACTTTTTATAAAATAAAATTATTTTATTTTAATTTATTAACGATTATTACGAAATTTAAACCCGTAATTTTAATTTTAAAAAAACCGGTTTTTTTTAATTATTTATTTTATTAAATAATTATATATTTAATTTATTATTTAATTAATTATTTAATTAATTAATTCGTTAAAAATAACTTATTTTTAAACTTAAAAAAGAAATTTATAAAAATAATTAAAATTAAAAAAATCGAAAATATAATAATAATAATAATAATATAAAAACTTTAAAATATATTTATAATTTTTAAAAATTTTTTTTAATACGATTAATATAATAATATGTTTTTAATTATTTTTACGATTATTTTTCGATTATTTTAACGATTATTTTTTTAATTATTTTTTCGATTATTTTTTCGAAAATTTTAATTTATAATATTTTTTATTTTTTAATAAATTTTAATTAATATTTAACGTATTTAATATATTTACCGAAATATTTATTAATATATTTATTAATATTAATTTTATTAATTAATATAATTAATACACGTATATAACTTTTATATATTAAATCGAAACGTAATGTTTTATACGTTTTTTTAATTATTTATAGTTTTTATTTAAGTTCGATTATATATATATTATTAAGTTTTATATTATTTATTTTTATATATATTCGTTATTTAAAATTAACGTTTAAATTATTTAATTAATTATTCGTAATATTTTCATTTTTTTATTTACCCGTTTATATTAAGTTAATTTTATAAAATTAATCCCGTTAAATAACTTTTTATAAAATAAAATTACTTTATTTTAATTTAATATATATATTATACGAAATTATAATATAAATATTTAAAAATAAAAATATAAATTTAAAACGTAAATTATAACGTAATTTTATTAATTAAATTTATAATAAATAATTAAAAAATATTTTAATTTTAAAAATAATTTTTAAAATTAAAATTATAAAATTTATAATAAATTAATAAAAAATTTACCGTTATTTATTTAATATATTTAACGATTAAAAATTTAAAACTTTTTTAATATTTAATATATATTTTAAATACGTTATACGAAAATTAAAAAATTAATTAATTAATTAATTATTTAATATATTTTACGATAAAACGATTTATAATTATACGATTATTAAATTATTTTATATAAAAAATTTAATATTTAAAAAAATTTTATTTAATATTTAAAAATATTTAAAATTCGAAAATATTTAATACTTAAAAAAATTCGCAGTTAAATTATTTACTTAAAAATCGATTAATCGATTAATTATTTAATTAATTATTAAATTTATTTATAAATTATTTTATTATTTAAATTATTTAAAATATTTAAAATATTTAAAATATTTAAAATATTTAATTAATAAATTCGAATATTATATTTATTTATTAAAAATAATTAATTTAAACTTTAAAAAATTAAATCGAAACGTAATATTTTATATTAAATTAAAGCGTAATAATTTTACATTATAAAAATATAAGTTATAAATCGTGAAATTTTTAAATACGTTTTCGTAAATTTTAAAAGTAAAATATTATTATAATAAGTTATTAATTATAAATGAATATAAATATAAAAAATATATATAATAATATAAGTGTTAAAAAAAGTAATAAAATTTAAAATAAGAAATTTTAACGAATTTTTATAAAAAGTTTATTAATAAATAATTAATTAATATAATAACGTAAAGTTTATATTAAAAAAATAAAATATTATATTACGATTTAATATATTTTTTTAATTATTTATAATTTTTATTTAAATTCGATTATATATATATTATTAAATTTTATATTACTTATTTTTATATATATTCGTTACTTATAATTAACGTTCGAATTATTTAATTAATTATTCGTAATATTTTTATTTTTTTAATTATTTATTTATATTAAATTAATTTTATAAAATTAATTTCGTTAAATAATTTTTTATAAAATAAAATTACTTTATTTTAATTTAATAATTATTATTATAATATAATATATTTTTATAAAAAAAAATATAAAAAAATAAAAATAAAAATATATATATAAAAAATATAAAATAAAAATAAAATTTAAAAAAAAAAATCTTAAGTTTTTTTATAAATAAAAAAAATTATTAACTTTATTATTATTTAAATTTTAAAGTTATTTAAATATTTAATTTAAATTTAAAGTTTTTTAATAATTATTAAAGTTTTTTATTAAAATATTAATTATAAATAAATTACGTAACGTGTATAGTTTATACGTAGTTTTATTTATAAAGTTACGTTTATTTTATTATTTATATATATTTTCGAACTTAAGTTTTATAATATTAATTTTTATTATTATTTTATTTTATTATTTTAAAGCGTAGTTTTATTAATTTTAATTTTTTTAATATTAATTAATAATTAATTAAATTTCGTTAATTATAAATAATAAAAGAAAAGATTTTAATAATAACGATAAGAAGAAAAATAAACTTATATAATTTTAATTAATTTTATTAAAATTATATTATTTTTAAGTTTATATAATTTTAACGATTTTTATTAAGAATATATTATTTATAAATTTATACGATTTTATTAATATTTACTAAAAATGTATTATTTTTCGATTTAAATAAAAATAATTAAAATTTTTTCGATTAAAAAAAATAATAAATTACGGAATTATATTAATTCGCGATATATAAACCGAAGTTTTTTATAATATAATAAAGTAACGAAATTATACGGTCCGCGATATATAAGTTAAACTTTCGTTATAATAAAATATAATTACGATTTATTTCGATCGATTTTTCGATAAAATAATTACGATTTATTTCGATCGATTTACTAATAACGAAAATGCGAATATATTTAACCGCGTTTATTACGCGTAAAAAAAAAACAAGAAATAAACTTAAAAAACATTTTAATAATTAAACGAATTCGATAAATCTTTTATATACGATTTAAAAATTCGAAAATTTTATATATACACGATTCGAAAAATCCTACATATATACGATTCATTAAACTTTTTTTCGTACGAATTATTAAACTTTTATACGAATTATTAAACTTTTATATAAATTAATAAACTTACGTATAATATTAACTTTTTATTTTAATCGTACGATACGATATAATTAATAATTAATAATTAATTAAATAAAAAAAAGTTTATTAATAAGATTAATTAAAATTATAAAATATAAATTAAAATTAAAATAAAAATTCGAATTAAATAATTAAGTTAAAAAATTAAAAAATTAAAAAATTAAAAATAAATAAAATTAATATTAAAATTAATTATATTATAATAAAATATAAAAAAAAAAAAAAAAAATTTATTAATATTAAAATATTAATTATAAATAAATTACGTAACGTATATAATTTATACGTAACTTTATTTATAAAGTTACGTTTATTTTATTATTTATATATATTTTTAAACTTAAACTTTATAACATTAATTTTTATCGTCGTTTTATTTTATTATTTTAAAACGTAACTTTATTAATTTTAATTTTCCTAACATTTTTTAATAATTTTAATTTATTTATAATAATTATTTTTATTTTTATAATAATTATTTTTAAATTTTTAATTATTATTTTTAATTTTTTAATTATTATTAATTTTTAATATTTACCGTTATAATAAATAAATATAAAATAAATTAAAATAATACGTTATTAATTTTACGAAAATATTAAATTAAAACGTAGTAATTTTATATTATAAAAATATAAATTATAAATCGTAAAATTTTTAAATATATTTTCGTAAATTTTAAAAGTAAAATATTATTATAATAAATTATTAATTATAAATAAATATAAATATAAAAAGTATATATAATAATATAAGTGTTAAAAAAAATAGTAAAGTTTAAAGTGAAAAACCTTAACGAATTTCTATAAAAAATCCATCGATAAATGATTAATTAACATAATAACGTAAAGTTCATACTAAAAAAATAAAACATTATATTACGATTTAATATATTATACTTAATTTTTTAACAATTTAATTAACGAAGTAAATTCCCTAAAAATACAATTTACCTAAGTTTAAACACCTCGTTAAAGCTTATAATCTCCCCAATTATTCCTTTAAGATAGAACTATTAAGCTGTAATTTTGATGAACGCCGTTGTTTCGTTTGCGCTCAATGCCTCGCCGGTCGTGGGGTTAGCGCTATTGGGTCCTAGAAGTCGTGCGTAATAATAGTCTTGACCACTGGAGCCAGAATTTTCAGCCTCATACTTGAGGCCCCAAGATGTGCTGGTGTTATAGCTTCCCAGGAATATACCGTCTTGCTTCACGCCATCGATGTAGTGCTCAAATATTTGGGGCGTCTCGCCATCGATCTTCCACATCAAGGCCGCATCATACGGATATGGAGAAATTACCAAGGGAAGCCACTGGTAACTTGTCGGGGCACCAGCAGCTGTCAAATCCGTAGGTACCAAACCCTGAAGTTCACCCGCGTTACACTTCAGGGGATTCTTGGCAATATCATTGCGAGTTGGGAATGTGATCTGCGTCGGTTCATTAGAATGGTACTTATATCAACTTCGTAGGAGAGTACTTACAGAACCCCAGCGCAAACTAGGTTTAGTATCCGTACTAGGGTTATAGGATATCGAATAGACGGAGGTGTCGCTGAACCCTTCAATAGCAGCATTGTCGCTATCGACTAGTTGGATAGTCCATGGTCCGGCTGTATCAGTCGAAGCATCGTATCCAGGATATGATGAACAATCCTCGACGGGCAAGACCTTGACAGTCACATCTGGGGTCGCGCCAGCTAACGGAACGATCGCGAGAAGTGAGGCGAGAGCGAGTTCGGTGAGCATCGTGATAAGTTCTATGATTGCAGAAGAGCACAGGGCGAGGAGAAGAAGAAATGAATGAATGCTTGCTGAGCTCACGATGGGATGTAACGAGTGGAATAACGAGAGTATTTATTTCCATCAACCCCTGGATGAAGCCAAACGGAACTATTCTTTCAAATTACATTATATTCGGCGGCTTGCGGACGTATCCTAGGCACCACTAGTCTAGACCATAAGGTTCGCTTGGATCTGAAGTTCCAGTGCATGAAGAAGTGGGACGATTCAGTGAATATGAGATTAATGTTAACATGGAGTAGTTCAGGGGCATCAATTTAAGCTTAGTTTGGTTATTCCTGATTGGTTGTCGTCAATGATGCCTGTCATGAGGCTGGATAGATCTGGGATCGCTTATAATTTCGCTTCGTACTGCAGGCAGAAGCGCAGGCAGGACTTGAGGCTCGGCCGTATCAATCGTGCCGTCGCGTTTTAGTTACTATGTAGGTAGGTAGGTAAGTCAACTCGCATCTGCCTACCTAGTACCCAAGTGCCTACCTAAGGTGACCCAGCAATGATCATGAGACTGATGCCCATAATCAGACACCTTCTCGCAATACTAGGATGAATGACTCTTAAACATAATTATATTAAATATTAAAACTTCCGGGGTTAATATGTATTCCAAAGCGTTGTCGGCTCGTATTAAGTCTACTTCAGTATGGTTAAGTAAGTAAGTATTAAACTTCCAACCCATCTTGAAAAAGGCTCAAGTGAGAATATACACCATAGTTCCTAAGTCATCAGCCCTATCAAACATCAGCCTAACCTGATTAGTACGTACTTAAATGATTGGATTGCGTAATGGCATGTTAATGGGAGAATTGTTGCTTCCAAAACTAAAAACACAAAATGTAGGTAGGTAGTGTTGGAATGCTCCATTCAATATCACGCGTACCTTATAATAGATTGTATGATGTGATTATAATTACTCGTATGTACCACTTAGGAATGCATATACATATCAAGGATGTCGAATGGAGGACTCGTGATCTACTTACGTGCTTATACGAAGGCCAAAAGATAAATGAAGGAAAATGAGTATAGCGCTCGTCGTGAGCTGAAACATAAAGTGGCAACCATCTGATTGCCACACAAAGCCGTCGTTGAATGTTACCAGAAAGGGAAGCATATTATTATGGATTTGAGGCTGCAAAGCTTGAGGGTTGAACTGTAGGTAGTTAGGTCTACTTTACGACATAGTCAGCCTTGATTATTAAGCACTAGGTTTTTAAACTGGTATCCATGGATGGAAATAAAACACGCTGGGAATGGGAATCTACCGATAAATCTTTAAATATTGGCTATTAACTTAATAAACAACTGTGTACCTACCAAGGTCTTACCTAGGTACATACTAAGTAGTTTACTTAGTATCTAAAAAGTATTTATTTATTAACGTTTTCCAGATCGAAAACCGACTTGAACACTCCATTTAAAATGACAACATTAGAATGAACGGTAATGTTATAATGAAATAACCTAGGTAGGTACTAGCAAATACTTAATGGTATATAAAAACTGTTTTGTATAGGTATTACTTCAAGTTGTAATTTTAAGGGAAAAGATAAAAAACGAGGAATTTCTTAATGATAAATATGATAATATTACATGACGAAAAAAGGGGGAGGGGTTGCCAAGACACAACGACATAAAAGTGGATCTGCTGCGAGATAGTACCGAAGATCTTCCAAGAAGTAATGAGGACAGGCTTTATTCGACATTAGATGTTCCTATCGCATTCATACTTACCTACCTACCTACCTACCTAGTAGGTAATCAACTAATATTCGACTTCGCGATGTCAAGCCTGAGTGAGGCCGCTGTGGCCGCGACAGCCAAGGGTGATGAATTGCATCCTCAAAAGATATCGATTCTCTTTGTCTGCTTGGGCAATATCTGCAGATCTACTATGGCAGAAGGTGTTTTCCGGTCTATCGTGAAAGACAGATCTTCTCCGTACTACAACCTTGTCGAAAAGGTAGATTCCTGCGGGACAGGTGCGAGGACATACCTTATAGAATCCCAACATTTCTATGGAGTTAATGCTAACATCAATATGTACCTACAGGTGGGTACCACACCGGAGACGAACCCGACTCTCGGACTATGTCAACTCTTGCAGACCACGGCATCACGAACTATACGCACGCGGCACGTAGGGTTAGTTCGAGCAACACAGCAAAGATGAATGCAACACAAACGTTGTAAACTAATCAATGGTCGTCTATAGGTTTGCGACAGCGACTTCCGAGACTTCGATTACATATTTGCGATGGACAACGGAAATTTGGAGGATCTTGAGCGGTGGAAAAATAGAAGTCGAAAGTTATCTTCGTCCAAGGCACAAGTGATGCTTTTTGGTGAGTTCTCGGGCACGGGTCGCAAGGAAGTAGTGCAAGACCCGTATTACGTCGGTCGTAATGCATTTGAGAAAGCATTCGAGCAATGCAAAAGATTTTCGACAAACTTCTTAGAACAAATATTTCCCGGCGCCCTCGCGACGACTACATAGGTAAAACCTGATGATACCCTGAATTCTTATAGATCATGTCTTCATAGACCAGTAGATAGAGTCCATGGGCGCGAATCAATCTCACCAATACAGGCTAGAGAAGATATCCCCACGAGACAAATTTCCTATCAATCATAAACACGCTTAGGTACCTACCTAGGCAGGTACCTTGTAAGCGGAATCGACAAATCACTTTTCTGACCATTATATACCTACCTACCTACCTACCTATGAGTTAATATTGATCTATTTACGGGTAAACTACTAGGTACTAGGTATTAATAAGAAAATGCAGATGAGAAATTGGAACATTTACTGCACTAGGCAATTTGGGGGGGGCGAGCCTAGGTAGGTAGGTAGGTAGGTAGGTAGGTAGGTAGGTATTGTACCGACCTGGCTATCTTCAGCCTCAGCTCAGCCCCTAATTCAGTGGATTTCCCAACTTAACTTCAACTAAGCAGCTAAGAGGTAGCACGAGCCTTATTACGGCCTTTCCCGTTCTACTAGAACAGCTATTATTAACCTGAAAGATTATTTCACATATCGTAAATGCGTGATTCCGCATAGTTAACCGTTCACTTATATACCTACCTACTAGGTACCTATGCTCACCCCTTTTTGTATTATCCAATATCTGAGCACACCTATAACGCGGCTATGAAGGGCAGCTATAAAAACTATCTACAAAATATTAATACACAAGTAGCAATGACGGGATTACTCGCAGTTTAGCCCAATCAATGACCGGCAGTCGGCGCTTATAGGGCTAACAAAGCTCAGGCGAGCAAGGATTAACCATACTGGCGCTATCTTGGAACTGGAATTAGTGGGTCTGGTCTCGAAAGGTGGCCAACGGTATTCAATTTTGCTGTGACGTTGCGGGGAACATCCCACGAAGGTACGCAAGTTGTAACTGCCTCCATTCGACCATTACCCTCATTACCCTCATCGCCCTTGCGGCGCGCGCCCCTCCATCTCCACTTTCGCATCTCCATCCATCATCAGCCAAGCAGCCAAAGACTTTCTATTGTAAGATTTCCCCTCCTTCTACCTTCCTTGAATCGACGATTGCTTCGAGGTTGTTTGAAGTTACTTCGAGTTACACGCAGCGCATAAACATACACAATAAGCAAGCAAAGGGAAATAGCCTTCTTTTTTGTTTCCGTTTCAATGTTTTGTCATTTCCTTTTTTGAATGCCTACCTAGTCTAATACCAATCTAGCAGCGCTATTCTTCTTGGGGCTGACCTACGGTATTACCCCTCGGAGCTATATCGCTTTCGCCATCGTCCTTTCCATCGCTATCGCCAATCAGTTCTCTTAACAGCCTTGTCTTGGTACTTCTAGGTTATCCTTTTTAAATAACACCCAACACCCAAAAACATCCATAAGCCTTGCTTACTTTCTTTTTACTCAATACCCAACACTGAAATACTCAAACCCGCTCTCGCTCTCGTCAGCTTCATCATAGTTACATCTTGGCTAAACATCCACCGTGTCCTTTGGTATAGGCAATCAACTCTATCCAGTACTCAACACCACCAATACTACCAATACTACTAAATACGTGAACGTTCCAAGTCAATATAGCTCGAGTCACGACTCGACCCAACTATCGAATTCCAACATTCTCGAAGCGCAACTCCGCCAACCTTGTCCTAAATACAATATTAGAGATCCAAGAGCCTAGATACCATAATGACCGACCTACAAGGACGTAAGGTCTTCAAGGTCTTCAACCAGGACTTTATCGTCGATGAGCGGTATACAGTTACTAAGGAGCTAGGACAAGGTGCTTATGGTATCGTTTGGTACGTGTGTCGCATACCTAGCATGTTGATATGTTAGGTAACTGATCTCTAACGATTGATTCTTCAAATAGCGCTGCTGTTAACAACCAGACCAATGAGGGTGTCGCCATCAAGAAGGTCACCAATGTCTTTAGTAAAAAGATTCTGGCTAAGCGCGCCTTGCGCGAGATCAAGCTCTTGCAACACTTCCGAGGCCACCGTAACGTAAGAGACCACTTTGTCTTCTCGCGATACCCACCTATATACTGTTTCTTGGGATGGTTAGGGTCGTAGAACCAGAGACTAACTTGGTTCGGATTGTTAGATCACATGTCTTTACGATATGGACATCCCTCGACCAGAGAATTTCAACGAAACATATTTATACGAAGGTATTAGGTCGGCATCTGTACTTCTTATGATCGTCACGCTCACTGCTTACTATCATAGAATTGATGGAATGCGACTTGGCTGCGATTATCCGTTCTGGCCAACCGCTTACTGATGCTCACTTCCAATCATTCATCTATCAGATCCTCTGTGGCTTGAAGTACATTCACTCTGCGAACGTTCTCCACCGCGACCTGAAGCCAGGTAATTTACTCGTCAACGCCGACTGCGAGCTAAAAATTTGTGATTTCGGCCTGGCTCGCGGCTTCTCGGTCGACCCCGAAGAGAACGCTGGCTATATGACTGAATATGTCGCTACACGATGGTACCGCGCACCCGAGATCATGTTGAGCTTCCAGAGTTATACAAAAGCTAGTATGTGTAGAGGTTGAAATTTGTTTCCGCTTGTAGGTTACTGACATATCATAGTCGATGTTTGGTCCGTGGGATGTATTCTTGCTGAACTCCTCGGAGGACGACCCTTTTTTAAGGGGCGCGATTACGTGGATCAGCTCAACCAGATCCTCCATATCCTTGGAACACCGAATGAAGAGACCCTCTCGCGAATCGGTTCTTCGCGCGCCCAAGAGTATGTTCGAAACTTACCCTACATGGCCAAGAAACCATTCCCTACTCTCTTCCCCAACGCCAACCCGGATGCGCTTAATCTCCTCGACCGAATGCTGGCTTTCGACCCGTCTTCGCGCATCAGCGTCGAGCAGGCCCTCGAACACCCTTATCTACACATCTGGCACGATGCATCCGACGAGCCCGATTGTCCGACAACCTTCAACTTTGATTTCGAGGTCATTGATGATGTCGCGCACATGCGTGAGATGATCAAGGAAGAAGTATTTAGATTCCGACAACTGGTTCGGACAGCACCGGGAAGCACCGGTCCGGCCGCAGGACAACAGGTTGCAGCAGGCCAAGTGCCAATGCCTAGCGGCGGCAATTCCCAGTGGCGCGCCGAAGACCCGCGACCCCAGGAATACCTGGATCAGATGGGACTGGAAGGCGAATTGCAGGGTGGCCTAGATGCTGGTGGTAGAAGATAGGATCTCTCCCTCGAGCGTGTCTGGGCGGCGGCGAATGCGGACTCAACCGAATCAGGGAAGCGTAAATGCAGAAGTTTGCCAAGGCGATTTAGCTGTTACAATGAGAAGATTCTCAGAAGAGAATATCTGTGTTGGTGATGCTCCGTTGAAGCGCATTCAGGTTTACATCTTTCCAAAGATGGTCTATTTTTGGAACGGACAAGGTAGATAGATTGGGCGACACGCCCAACAGGCGGAATCCTACCTCAGCGAATGAGATGTCTCGTTATGATGGGAGTGACTTTTAACTCTTTTATTATTTTTTATGTTACCGATCGAGAGGGCGTCCAAAAACATTGATCGCGAGTCTTCCGTTAAGATGAATATTACGAAAAGAAACTATTTCATGGTGTTTCATCTAATGGGCTCTCGCTCCGTGTTTAAAATTCATAATGCAAGTGGACAGCAGCGAAGTTCATGGCTTCGACATGCATACCTCTAACAACCGGCCTTGGATAGTACTAGGTACCTACCCACGGAATAAGACTAGGAACACTCTCAAGGGTCCCTATTCTCTGAGTGCGAAGACACCACGAGACGACAAAACCATGAGTCGAGTACTCATAAACTGTAGCCGCCGTGCAAGGGGTGTAGCGAGCAGTCCAGTCTGATTAGGAAGGTCAAATATAGGTAAATAACAAGACGTAAACTTGGCTTCGGCTCCACGAAACTCAAGTTTAACAACGATTATTCTTACCTATCTAAGGTAAATACCTATAAATGCCGATTCGCTTTTTACAATATTGCTCTTCGTAAATATTTCACTCGCGTATCAAAAGGTACCTAGCAGGTAAGAGATAAAAAAGGGCTATATCCTGCCTCGCTTTCTTCAATACATCGAGATAAAGCAATGTAGGTTTACCATATACCAAAAATATCTACCTAAGAAGAAATTGAAGAAGGTACCTAGGTAAGCTTAGCTTAGGTAAAAATGTAGATGATCTTAACCAAGCTCCCGTCCTTGCCATTGTTACGAATAGGTACCTGTATACCAGTGAGAAGCCCAAAACTCCAGTAATTCCCGCCCTGCCATATTAAGATACCTTATATGTTGCATATTTTCACAACCCAGTCAACCCTCAGAGTTTACCACCTAGGACTTTTCGTTGCAAACTAGATGCCCACCTAAGTCGACCTCTCAAGTGATAGATCCTAACTGAATTTAGTTTGAATAGATCCAATATTGAGCGGTGTACGGTACGCTCTGGGTCTGTCCGACATCCGTACAAGTCTCAGGGTTTCCACCGGCCGTCAGCACGCGGTATACAAGACTAATGCCAGTACTCGTCCCCTTGTCGCTGAGCCGGAGCCAGTCCACTGCACCGGTAGTCGGGTCTGCCCCTTTGTCGGCATCACTTGGCGCGGATATATTCGCGTCCTTCTTGCCTTTGAAATATTCGCCATCATCTGCCCCAGAAAGGTCAAACGTAGGCGTCCCATTGATGTCGAAGAAATGGTGACCCATGAATTTGACCGTGCTCGTGATACCTTCGATGACTAGGTCTACCGGATCTGGAAAGGGAGAAGCCACGACGGCCCCAACGCTACCATCGACTGCCATATTTAACGGAATGTTTGTTGTCCGTAGAACTCTGGATGTGAGCAAGTTGAAGTCGTCTGCGGAGAGAGAAGACGAGGAGGAGCCGGGGTACAGATCAGTGATATCCCAAACTACGGCTAGAGCTCCAACGGAAGAGGCTGTCGCCCCCGCAGCGCTGCAGGTGTAGTTTTGGATACCATGACCTACGAGGATATGCTTCAGCGTGGCTGACCCGGGGCCATCAAGTTGGGTTCCAGCTACGATGATATTAGCCCATATTAGATTGACTGAATGGAAAAGAAAGGAGAAAGAATCGGCGTGGAAATGTGGTACAAAACTTACAGCCCGTAGTAGGTAACGTGGGAGTAGCAACTGCAGAGGTGGAATTAACCGGGTTGGTAGGGGTCGGAACCGTACTGTTGCTACACCTTCGTCGCAGAGGGGAGGCAGAGGCGAGAGTGAGCCCCGCAAGCAACGCAAATAGACTTTTCGACTGCATTTTGACAGTTCTCTTCTAGAACAGAGGAGAACTGACAATATAGAAGAGATGGTCTCGAAGAGATATTATAAGATAGACTGGCTGGGCTAGACAAAGAATTCCTAGTTATACGAAGGTACTTCGATAATAACTGGGGTAACAGATAATGCAGGCGGCAGCTGAGGACGATGTAATGTTTCTTAGCTGGCCGTGGCCGTGTGTCGTGTGTGAGTGTGGTGGGCGAGTGGCTGGACGGCGCTTAGAATGGAATAGCAATATCTACGCACCCAGGTAGTATGCGCGTGCGGTTGTATTTTAGGTATATGTAGATGCAAGATGAGAGGGAGGGCTTTCCGAGCCGAGATTTGGTATGCTCTATTGACGAAATTTGAAGTCTAGGATACGAGAAATACCGTGATGAATCTCCAAGAAGTGGGAACCGTTTATGAAAAATGTACCTAGGAAATAACACTTAAGGAGACGAAAAGAGAAGAACTTTATGATACGGTGCCCAGGTGACGACGAGGATCGTGAAGTCAGTCGGATGGGGGCCAGGCTGAGTTTATATCACATTCATCATGGACTTACCAGTTCATCCTGGCAGACCTACATCCATTAGGTGCAGCGTAGGACAATGTATGTAGTAAGTATCTTGTTTTTTTTATTACCATGCAGCAAGATCCTGGCTCCCGGAGGTATGCATCTCAACATCGTGATCAAGGGATAAAAAGTAGCTTCTAACGTGGATCGAAATACTTCCTGGTTCGAGGCGAGAGAAAAAAGAATAGGGTCTGTACCTAATTTTCACGCTAGAAATGTCGCATCGTGGCGTAGACAGCCGACGGGAGAGACCGTTCCTCAGCACGGCGGTAGGCTGGATACGAACCTTGGAAGCGGATGACTTTTTTGGTGTAAAATGCCGTCCACCCTTGGCAACGGCCTCTTTCTTCTGGACCTCTGGGGCTGACAGGGGGTTACAGGTACGCATCCTCTTGATGACTAGCTAGAACAGCGCAGGGTATCATCGGGCAAGGGATCTTTCGAGAGCTGGGACCCTCTTCATACCTTGCATATCGGAGCTGTAGGGATGAATAGATTCTTGCTTTTTGATTCTCGACTTACAGCCTACAGCAACTGAAGTAACGGTACTAGACGGAACTGCAGTTTTGCTCCGGCTAACTCTCCGATTTGGTAAGGTGGTACAGATCTTTGCATGCGTTTACGTAGACGACGGTCCACTGTATTGTTATCAAGAGGTTGGTACAGTTCATGATGTTATTTGCAGCTCTCCATCGCCCGTACCCAGTCGTAAGTGGCGGTTGAGTTCCAATAGAGGGGGAGGGGTTTTCAGAGAGTGCCTGGTTCCCGGGGAGCGAGCAAGGCTTGAAAGTTGAAGGGTACCTGGGTTGAATCCTACCTTTAGCTCCGTGCTCTTTGACATGTCTAGGGCATCTAGAAGGTCTGAGCTCAAGATCGATTAAATTCCGATCATGCTTCTTAAACTCCGCAAGAAAGCAAGGAAAAAATGACGAGTGCCGTCCTATATACCTTGCATGTCTGATAAGAAAGAAAAGAAAAATTCCACTAGCCCATGGTTAATGAAAATGATGTAAATACTTAAGCATATGGGGAAGAGCTGAACGGTCTAGAAAAGAGGGCCAAAGCCACTGAAGAAGCGTGTCTCGTTCATGTTGGCTGCCGTCAAATTAATTGAAAGGCCGCGGCTACATATGGAGAAAATGTCGCCCTTCTACCAGCCGCTGCCGCTGTGATTCGCTCAGTGGCCGGTCAACCGTCAGACGCTGGGACATCGAACCGCAGGGGTGGTTAAAAATTCATTTCAAAAAGAGAACTCATTGGCTTAATAGGCGACCATCCCGCTGTTTGCCTATTGCCAATCCACCTTGAACGTAACTCCAGTTACCCCGGTCAGTCGACCAGGGAGGCACGGGAAGCAGATACCCAGGTATTGTACCTACGCCAGCTACGCTTACAGGCAGGCTGGGTGGAGCGAAAACAAAAGTCCTGTTAAGTTCTGTTAACTTAATCTTTCGATGGGATCCCTTGCAAATCCCAGATCTAGTACCGAGTATTAGAGTACAGATGCTACATTAAACAAGAAACAAGCTTTGCATCACAAAGATCGCGCGAGTTGAAAAAAGTCTACCTACATAAGTATGTACCTAGGTAGGTAAGTAACAGTAACGTTCGAATCCCTAATTCGGCAATCTTTCCGAATATCTTACCTACCTGTTCATTTTAGACCTCCTATTCTCAGTATCTGTTGTGTTCCCCGAGCGCAAGCGACCGCTGTACGATGAAATGCAAGTATCGGGCTTGGTAGGTAGTAAGTACTATTAACTTTAGAATGGTTGAACCTCTGAATTAATGTTTCACCCTTCAACATTAGGGAGAGCATGGTTTCTTCTCAGTGAGTCGCATTCGATATTCTATATGCCTCCCAACTGCATAGAATCTCGTTGGCCCAAATACCTTGTAATGATGGATGAAAGACGTAGGGCGGGTGATTTCCAGCTAGTCGGGACAACTTCAAACAAATCCCTATTAATCTTAGTTCCCTAGGTAAGGTTTAGGCTACCTACCTACCTAAACACCAGCTTAACCTTGGTAAGATATTGTGACTATTGATAGGAGGTAGGTACGGATTCTTGAGATCGAAAATGATTTTAACACAATTACCACTGGTTAAAAGATCTAAGATACCTAGGTACCTACTAGGTAGGTGGGTAGGTATTACTTTTAATGTTGTAGGTGCCTCATAATCTTCAAGAAATCGCAAATTTGAAACTTTAAATACCTATTAAAATGAATAGGAATCCGGCACCAACACAGGTACTATCTGATAAACGAGCTATTGTGCTGCACTAAGTCATAATAGTTATTACCTACGTACCTAGATACAATACGTAAAGGAATTGATGTTTCGTTTCAGGTCTGTCCGCCTTGTTTGATGTTACATTTTAACGATTTTCCGCCTTATTAGTTCGAAGCGAATCCTTCGATGCACCTGCATTTCTAGAAACATCACTAACTTACCTTACTAGGTAGCTAGAACGAGGAATCTGTGAGCGAATAAGCAGATATGTTATTAAAATGGCTTTGATGAAACGCGCTTTAATCACTCTCAACTTAAATAGCCCTAGAGGTTCAACATCTTTATGGTAATTAGTACTTTGTCCAGAAGGCGGAATGAACAGGCAGACAGGGTGGAGTCCCGACTCTTCGGGTCCGACAGAAATGATGCCCCTCAATGGGCTCGATATGAACAGGGTATGTAATATGATAAACTAACAAAGGCGCAAGACGAATTTCTCATCAGTTATAGCGGATTCTGCAAAGGCGCCGTACCTCAACATGCTATGGATCAACATAGTCCGGTCTTCGTGGCCTGGGGGAGAGGAATACAGCAAACGATTGAAAATAAACGGTAGCTGCAACGACTGTAGTCGCTTTTCACACAACGAACCTTGATTACTTGAATAGTCATTTTAGCGAAGGTACTCGACTACAATCACCTTTATGCTACAAGCGTTTGGATGATGTTTATGAATCTGCAGTTGATCTTACCTAGGTACATGACCTACCTACATATGCTTAGAACTGACGAAGTCGAAGCCTGACAATACGACGAATGCAAGTTACTACCTACCTATGTACCTGATATTTAACAAACAACCTTGAAGCCTCAAGTTAGGGGATCTGTTAACTCCCTAACATACCTACCTAGGTAACCCCAAGTCCTACATGTAGGTAGTACCTACCTACCTAGGTACCCAGTAGATAGTAGGAACTTAGGTAGGATTACTTCCAATTATTCCAGCAAATTTATCATGATAGTTCACGTTACCTAGGTAGGTAGGTAGGTAGGTAGGTAGGTAGTGTCGAGAATGTGCAGCCATTTTGTCTATGTGCCGTATGTAATATAATATTATCAACGGCTCCCCTAGGTAGAGACTGAACTATAATAGATTTACATTCACCTGGCCCCAAATCATCATACATTTGTTAAGCTCTTCGCAGCCTCACGGCCAGCAATCCTACCGAAAACGGCGCATTCGAGTAATGACGAGCCACCCAGCCTATTTGCACCATGTATGCCACCAGTAATTTCGCCTGCAGCCCATAGACCGGGTATAGGTACTAGTTCACCCTCTTTTGTCCGCAAGACTCGCGCTTGCGAATCGAACGTCACGCCTCCCATTGTAAAGTGAACTACTGGCGTTACAGTCCCGACGCATACCTCTTCGTCCCGATTGGCCTCTCCGGGGGGTAACTTCCAGTGCCCAAATGCCTTTCTCCCTAACGTGTCTTCGCCGTGTGCAGCAACTAAGGTCGCGTACTTGTCAACTGATGCGATGACTTCTGGGGCTAAGTCTCTGACTTTTATTTTCTGTAATAAACCCTTCCAGAGATAGAATCCTATGTGTGATGCGGTGGCCTCGCATGCACCGGGATCGAGTAGGAGTTTTACTTCCCACTGCCTTGTCTTATCGACTATCAAGTGCGGCAGAGCCATGATGGCAGCGCTGACGACGTCCCGGGTCTGTAGCTCATCGATGAACCGCGTCCCATCGCCAGATAATAGAATGCCACCTTCACCTCGTAGAGCTTCAGCGGCTAAGAACTTGTACGCCGAGCCGGGGTCTTTGGGATCTACGAAACCCGTCGGGTGAATCTGTACGCTGTCCATATCAACGAATGAGGCGCCGATTGCGGAGAGTAGGCCGTGAGAAGCTGGTCGTGCCTCATTCGTAGATGGAATGCCTGCTAGGTCGGGTCGGTATTTTGATAATAAGCCGTGAGCATCACCTGCGAACCCTCCCGTCGCAAAGACCACGGGCCCTTCCAGCTCATATGTCTGCCCGTCTGCGGAACGATAGCGGACCCCTTTAACTACACCATCGCTGGTGAGTAACTTATCGACCTCGGCCGAATTTTCCAACGAAAAGCTCGAGTTTGCCTTCAGCGTATCTAATAAAGCCGATACGATCGCTGCTCCGGGAGGTAGTTTCCCTCCACCGCGGTGCGTCCGCGGGACCGAGTGTCCACCGAGTTGGGCAACAACACTTAAATCAACATTTAACTCATCAGCCAGCCAATTCACGGCACTTTCGGATTGTCCTGTCAATATCTCAACCAGGACCTTGCGGTCAACCGGGGGATTTCTCTCAGCGAATCTAGCACCAGCCGACCGCACGGTATCGGAGAAGAAACTGTCATCCTTAGTTATGCCTAGCGGTTGTTGAAACCGCGTACCAGCGCCGTTGATTCCGGATGAGGCTTTGATGCTGTTCCCACCAGGTTTGGGTGCGCGGTCCAACATGCGAATAGTAGCTCCAGCGCGAAGCGCTTCGTGCGCCGCAGACAGACCGGCGAGACCGGATCCCACGACTATAACGGGCTTCCTTGCCGCTGCCGTGGCCTGGGTCGTCATCGTGGCTAACAAAGAGCTAGATATACTATTTAGCGTGAGGGAGGTCGCGTTAGGGCGGAAGAGGACCATGCATAGAAGAGCAGTGAGGAAACCAATGACGAAACAGATTAAAAAAGTATAGCATCGGCTTCTTCGCACTCGTATGGGCATATTTCAGATAATTAAGTTATTGGGGAAAAGAATCCACCGATGGGTGGTCCATTTGTATCAATTATGTCGACGTCAACGTAGTTGTACGGGTGACTGGCGTTGTCGTATGATGCTGACGGCATCGTATGATAGGTGGAATGGAATGGGGAAGTACCGCGTCCAGCTCCGGACATCGAATTGAAAAGCAACGTCCGTACCGCATAGATTGGCAGCATGACTTGATCTTTGCCGTCAATATGATCGGGTCGTCAGTATGCAAGAAGCGACGAGATCGCCGTATCTTTTGAATCGATTAATTGTAGATAGGTACCTACACTCCCATGCAATTGAAATGAGTCCGTTTTGTTAGAGCTTAAGTTGTGCCAAGACGTTTCTCCAGATTTGGATTAGTATGATAATAGCTTCGTGGCCCCGGCTTTCCCTGACCTGATATTTCTATCTCGAATAACTTCACCAAATCTTGATGAATCATTGAGAATATAACATATTTCAATCAATTACAGGATGCGCTTTCTAATGAGCCAGGTTGCATCTATTAGAATTCCTTTAATCAGGAGATATTCAACGGTGTTTTCAATCATGGAAATTTATCCCTAGTAAACGATTACTAAGGTTGACCGAATAATTTGCAAAAACAGGCTGTTTATTCCTCTAGCCATAACTCAACGAAAAATGCTTGTAATTTCATGCAACCAGTTTCATTAGAATCGCTAGATTGAAGGCTATAAGTATAGTCCATTTCAGGGACTTTGGGGTCAAAATCATAGAGTTATGTCTATATGTAGTTTAACAGCAATTGATGGTTGTTGAGGAATGGAATTTTCAAGCATATGATTGGCCGATCTTATCTATCTATATACGGTATGGCGCCTTGGCGTAACTTGAGCTCTAACAAAACGGACTCATTTCAATTGCATGGGAGTGTACCTAGGTGAGGTGCTTGGTCTAGTCTTGTTTAAGTTAAATTGATCAGTTGGGATTATCCAATTGCGAAAATCATGTTGTTGAGCTTGTTAATATTTGTTCGGATGGATTAGTTACATACACCTATCTAGCATTCATGTATAAATGCGAAAGAAGAATAGTAACTCCAGGGCTGATGCGCTCTTGCCCCGTATTAACGAAATGATTTCTTAAGGAAGTTTCGAACCGGCATATCGGAATCGTCAACAATTTATGCTACTTTTAGCGAGCAGCTAGGTACCTCACTAGTACATACCCGGCAGCGAGCAGCCGGGGCAGGATTCTAATAGTAGATTTTTTGACATAAGCCAACCCTGCTTATCTCATAACCGCGCCTATAACAATTATATTTTCTGATATGCTCCCTGTTCATCTTCACTGAATATAATCCATCCAATTCTATTATCTGCTCGGATACGATGGCATCATGACATTTGTGATCTCTTGCGACAGGGCTCCACGCCTACGCTAAACCTTTAACATGCCGATGCGCAATCAAGGGAGTTTTGCTCCGTCGCTGCCGACAGCGCAAACCCCAGGCTGCCTAGGCAAATATAATAGCCTTCTCTTTCAAAAAATAGAAAAAGAGCATTAAAACCCACGTCGCCAATAACCCACATTATATATACGGGGTGGTAGTTGTTACTCGTTAGGCCTGGCGTGTATGTAACCCTCGAAATACGAGTTCATCACCTCTTGGCGAAATGCGATCTACATTTTCAAGAGGTTGATAGTTATCATGGTATGTATATAGTTGAGAGTTTTCGCCTTCATTATGTCCTACCTAGAATCAAGGCCACATTTTCTTTTGCCGTGTGCAACTTGAGACAGACGACGATGCGCTTAAATTTCTCTTCGTTAGCGCTTCTACTCACCACTTTTGGTAGTGTTTGGGGCGCCGACCACCTCTCACGTCGTGATGTCAATAGCACCGGGAAGGTTGGAGATGATGCTACCCCAAGACGGTTCATCGTCGAACTTAAATCGCGTGCGCACAGAACCCTCGTCTCAGCTAAAGTGGCGGGGCTCCCCGGGCTCAGCGTTGTCAAAGAGTTTGATTCTGACCTATTCCCGGGCGTGAGTATCGAATGCGCTAACCATTGCAACGCCGAATATCTCAAAGATGCTCTTGATGCCGACGAGGATAGTCCTGTCGTGGCTACCGTGTACAAATCGACGCTCGTGCGTCTCCTGCCAGTGGTGGACAAGGGTGAATCATTTAGCGACGATGCGGCTGCTGCAAATTACTCGGTACACGGCTCTACGGGCGTCGAGAAGCTTCATAAGGCCGGAATCATCGGTACGGGAGCTACCGTCGCGGTTGTCGACAGTGGCGTCCAGTACACCCACCCTGCGGTAGCCTCGCCCGTCTTAAATGAACCTATTTGGTTAAGTGAGAATTTTCCATGTCCGCTAATCAGTGTACTTCTCTGCAGCTCGGTGGTGGTATTGGTCCGAACTATACGGTAATAGGCGGCTATGATCTCGTGGGCGACGGTTCGTTTTGCCTTCATGATATACAGTAATATGGAAACAATACTGATCTTTGTATGTGTATTACCTAGCTTGGCCTGATGGACCGGCCGCGCCAGACGATGACCCAATGGATCGATATGGGCATGGCACCCACGTTTCTGGAATCATTGCCGGCAAGAGTGATCAGTAAGTTACGAATACTATTATAGACGGACATTCCCCTAATCGTAACTATCAAATAGGTTTGTCGGTGTTGCCCCGGGCGCTAAATTGCTCGTTTTCAAGGTATTCGGAACCAGTGGCTATTCAAACGAGGAAACAGTCATTGAGGGGTTCTTGAAGGCTTTTGATTCTGGAGTAAGTAGGCACAACTGTTGCAGGTTTAGCCATATTGTATTCCTAACGTGAGATCGTGATACCTTAGGCGGATATCATCAGTGCCAGTCTTGGAGAGAATAGTGGCTTTACCTCTAACGCCTGGGCTGTACTAGCCTCAAGAATGGTTGAGCAAGGCGTAGTTATTTCTATAGCCGCAGGAAACGAAGGAGATGACGGCCCATTCGATGCCAGCAACGGCGCCTCGGGCGAAAGTGTCATAACTGTGGGAGCTGCCGAACCCGGGGTGTTCCCTGCCCAGGCTTTTTCGGCCGACTTCAACCTGGACGGCCAGCCGAACAAGACCCAGGTTGCCTACATACCAGCATCCGGATTCTTTCCGAATACGGTTCTCAATTGGCCTATTAAACCGGTGACGCTCGACTCGTCCGTGGAGAGCGATGCCTGTGCCCCATTGCCTGCGAATACCACTAGCTTTAATGGAACTATCGTTCTTGCGAGGGTTGGTGGGTGTGATACTACAGTCAAGCATGCCAACATAGCCGCCTTTGGCGCACAGTACATTCTATTTTATAACGACGACGGACCCTATCGAATCCCTTATGCCAATAGCAGTGCTCCAGGCCTTGTAGCAGCGATAGAAGCCCGGGCCGGGAAAGCTATCATCGACACCATCATCTCGGGTGGTAATGTCACCGCCTCCTTTGATGTTGAAACCGCCCATTACGTGGGATTATATAATGCTGGCGGAGGCCGGCCTGCGAGATACTCGTCGTGGGGTAGTACATACGATCTCGCGCTCAAGCCAGATGTTGTCGCGCCCGGAACTAAGATCCTATCTACGTACCCCACCAACCAGTATCGGGTTCTTAGCGGTTCCAGCATGGCAACCCCTTACGTTGCTGGAGTAGCCGCCCTCTGGGTAGGTAAGTATGGTGGACGCGCAGCGCATGCCACAGACCCTGCTTGGGCAAAGCGACTAACCGCACGCATAATGGGTTCTGCTCGCGCGGTGCCATGGGCCGACTGGGCCACCACAGCCACCGATTATGGTTTCTGGGCACCCACCACCCAAGTCGGGTCTGGCTTCATTGATGCGGAGCGGATATTGAATTTTACAACAGAGATCAGCTTTGAGGGTCGTAAGTTTGAGCTCAACGATACAGCCAATTTCGTGGGCAAACACTCTGTGGATATCGCGAACCATGGAACTACACCTGTCACATACTCTTTTTCACTTCAGGATGCTGGAGGCTACGACTCATGGACCCCTGTCATACCGGGTCACCAGCAAACATTTATTCCTTCTTTGAAACTTTATAGCGAAATTAATCCCGTGAAAATGACACCGGAAGTCAGGTTTCCGAATGGAGAATTTATCGTTGGACCTGGGGAGGCGAGGACGGCTGAGTATGTGCACCTTACGAAGTCGTAGCTTCTAAAATGAATAGAAATCGACACTGACGATACGAATATAGATTTACTTTCACGGCCCCCCAAGGGTTAAACACCAGCAGTCTACCCGTCTACAGCGGAAAGATTCTAATAAGCGGCGACAATGGCGAGGAGCTTGGTGTTCCCTACTTCGGTAAGTCATTAGCATGCTTCTCTACATAAATCCTGACATCTGTTAATCGCTAATATAGGTGTCGCATGCGATCTTAATCAAACCATCACGAACGTGTGGGATTACGGTTCCAACTTCCCTACCCTAACGTCGGGGATATCCGGTAGTCGAATCGATCAGAAATCTAAGTAAGTCATATCCCTAATTCCCACACCATATGCGTTACATGCGACATGTTCAGTACAAAACACTAACTCTCCAATTTCAGTTTCACCTTTAATTTGTCTCGCGAGGCGCAGGATTTCCCTAAGTTAAATACCCAGTTCGCCTGGGGAACAGAAGAGTTACGATGGGATGTGAGTTTCTAGCTTGACTACCTTACTTTAGATCATATTTTCTGTTATTTCATTATTTTTATCGTTTCCAGAAATAGGGCTTACTAGCAAAATTCAGATATTCGACTCCGAATATACAGAAGCCGAATGGAAATACCCACCCGTTATTGGCGAGAACGGTTATGTCGGGTCGGCTACGAGTTGGAACGGCACGTCTAAATCCCAATGGTTCACACCGGGTGAGAATAGCGAGGATGATATCTTTTCATTCCCGCTATATACCCAACCCCGTAGAAAATGGGGTATCTATTATTGGCTTGGACGGTTCGCCAATGGGTCAAACATTCAGCCCGGGAACTACCAGTAAGTCTCCTCACCTTTTCTACGACGATAAATTTATTACACATCGACTAGCAATAATCCGGTTACTTATTAGTGATATTCACAGGTTTCGCATTGCGACTTTGAGGCCTTTTGGTGACCGTCAAGTCTCGTACGATTGGGATGTTTGGGAGACACCTAAGATTGTCGTCTTGCCACTCAATTCAACGAACGCATCAGCGTTAGCGTAGATAGGTAGCCTCCACCTCCATGTTGTGAATTGAACGGAGTATATTTATAGTTATAATGTGTTAGAACTATTGGCATAATAGAGCAAAAATACAATAAGCAACCTTTAATATAGCGCGTGGAAAGCCTCCTCTGGGTACCTACTTAGGTACTTAGTATTAGGTAACAAATGTAAAAAGAAATTGTACGTCGTGATACTCCCGATCGGGGAATTGAACCCCGGCCACCTGCGAATTCAAGATGACAAGCAGGTATCCTAACCACTAGACGAATCGAGATCGCTCTGAAGCGAGTAAGGCTCAGATGAAAATTCTAGCTCGTTAATGACACACATAACTGCTTGTGTTTAGCCTGATTGGTCCATATTTTAGTTATGTAATTGTACCTCGGTACCTACTTAGCAGCCACCTACATCTGTGAGGCTTTTATTTCTTTTTCGTTTCACGGTACCTACAGCATATTAACAGCGTATCGCATCGCCCCCACATTCTCTTTCTATAACTGCCTCGTACGTATCTACATTTGCTTTAGTCTAAATATTTCATTTCGAACTTTAGAATGTTGTCTGCAATCTAGGATGGTCTTTAGCATGCGCTTGTAGATCTGCAAAGATGGCTGCTGAATCATCTCCTCGTAAACTTTCCATCCGGTGCGTGTCCTCCTCTTCCAATTTCTCTAACTCTTCTACTGGCTTCTCCTGTCCCTCTTTTTGATCTTTCTGTACCTCGGTCGCTTTCTTGATACCATTCGATTCGCCAATGAGAAGAAATTGGGTGTTTACGAAATCAAGGTGTTTGGGTTGGGTTGCAAACCACCGCAGGGCCCTAAATTCGTCTTGAATTCTGACCCATGTGCTGTTAACAATATTACGACATAATGTGGACACGCAGCCATGTACTTACTCTTTAGGATAATCTGGCCCTTGAGGGAGGGCAGCGCCTTTTGGAGCTTCATATTGCGGGTTTCTGGTACTAACAATGAAACTTCCTTTATCCTTGAGCCCGATCTTTTTCTGTACTTCACCGAGATCCACCGGCAAAGTAATCATGTACACAAGATGACTCTCGCGACCGGTACTGGTGATAGCATAAATACCCTCTGCTATCGGGGTGGCGGCGGGAGTGTGTCGCACGCCGGCAGTCTTAGTCGCATAGTCAGAAGCCGAGATGAACTTATCCTTCAGTGTTTGGAACGAGGCATGGGCTTTCTCAACGAATGCGATCCACCTATCCTTCCCACTCGAGGGAAGCACTTTTTTAGGAATAGCAATTAGGCGGCTATTTCCAGCGTCGTCAATCGTACCTTTGCCGGGCTTTGCGTCTTTGCTTAGCGGTCGTAGGACGATGTAACTACGGCGGATGTCATACACGCTGCTCGGTACGTCGATACCTACTCTTCCACGGATGAAGAAATAGACAATGCCCTTCTCTAAGATATTCGATGGGACCACACCTTGCCTCTCTCCTCTCTGCTCTGCGGAGCCGATTTGATCCGACTTTTTCGAACACTTCGTGTCATGATGATCGTTTCTATCCTCTCCCTTCTTGTTACTATTTGGTCGCGCCCGGTTCGTGCCATCTCCATAGGCTCCAGTAGGACTAGAACCATATCAGTCGGTACCCACCTAGGTTATTGCCCTTTCTTCAACAATATCCTATATTGTATGTAGCATACTCATACCTCGGAAGCGTATCTTCGATAGTCTGCTGTTTCTTGTCACCATCGTTTTTCTTTGTGCGCTTAGATTCTGGCGACCCCTTCGTATCAAGCTGGTGTTTCAAGGCGATGTCCTCACCGCAATCCTTCTTGGAAGCTGGCTCGGATTTTGCACCGGATCTGCTCGTCGTCATAGTTACTGAATAGTGGGGCTAAGTTTGGGAGATTCGGGATGCCTACTTGAAATAGAGAAAAAGGAATTGTGAGATGGGGTATATACCTACAAACAAGGCTTAGCAGGCTTTGAAATGTAGGTACCTAATATAGTTGAAAAAATAATTAAGTCTTGACTCAGATTGAAACACATAGGTACCTACTATTATGTAGGTACTGGATCAGTCTAATGTCATTGATCTGGTTAAAATGCTTCTTTTCAAGAACATCTATGAGCTTGGACCATTCATGACATAGCTGGTTTCCTTTTTGGGTACACTGTTGGTAAGTACGATAGTGCTTGGAATTACAGATACTAGGTACCTAGGTACATATGATTATGTGCAAATACCAAATTCAGGTAGGTAGGTATATTTAATTAAGAAAATTAGTGTCATGTATATAGGTGATCGTAAAATGGTTCAATTCGGAAGTTGATGCGAAGATTTTCAGTATGGTGAGGAATTGATGATTACCTAAAAGACGGAGGATGTAAATAATTATGAATTTTATCCCCTACAAGGTATGTATGCCATAGCTAGCGGAATCATCATGTGACTGGGCGCTATTTGGGTGGTACCATGCGAAATTAGACGGATCGGATACAGAAAGCTCTTGATCTTGTTTTCCATACCTTCGCTTAGCACATCTCTTCATGGATTTTAAGAAGTCCCTCATTTACATAGTAATCGATCGAACCATTCGCACTAATTATATCTCGAAAGATTTTATCATCCAATACCTAGCTACCAACCTAGTAGCTACAGCAGCTACCTACCTACTTATGCGATGCCGTCTGCATACCTACTAGGTAGGTAGGTACCTCATATGACTTTACTTCACAACAAAACTATTAGCTAACGGGTAGATATAGTCGTGCGCCGTCTCGTATTTACAAACACTAGTAGCGCACTAGCTATAAACGGCATAAAACGATGCTGCTTAGGTCCTTGGTAACGCGATCGGTAACGCGATCCATTTGAGAACTTGATAATAGTTGTATTATAAGTTACATTTTCATGCAGCCGTGCTCTCCCTGAAACGCTGGAATAGGGGTGCAACAGCAAACCGCGAGTAAAGATACCATACATAGTATTTGACCTTGTGTCTGGGGGCCTCGAACGTTAAAGAGAGTGATGTTTAGGTCATCACTCATCGATATCTACTTGTCAACCACTCTCATCGGCTACGCGGGATTAGTTGTCGTCCTGACGATACCCCGCTAGCCATACATACGCATCAAAGATCTCGTTTTCATCCTCAGATAATAGTCTCGAGTAGTTTTCGACATGGGCACCAACAGGTACTATGTAGGTGAGAGCATTGGATCTGCCCCTTCGGTAAGCTGAGGCTAAGCCGACACCAAATGGGACGCCATCAAACCAAACACCCTCTTTAGGAAAGCCATAACCGTCGATTAGCTGCATGCGCATTAGATCGGTCTCAGGGGTCGTCGGTAACGTCTCCCGGATTTGCGCTGTCTAAGCCTCCAAGGAGATTTTGGGTGGGGGCTATCTGATCTATATACTTCGACTCCATTGCAGCTATATACGAGATATATTTATTTCTAGGCTGCTCATCTATTGCTGTTCGTCTGTTCTACGCAGTAGAAGGTAGCTGTCCGACGACGAGGTTCAGCTTTTGTTTAAGGCTTACCTGCTCACTTTCGTTAACTCCGACCAATACACTCACTTTTTCATATTTATTCGCTCGACTGGTTCCATCGCTTCTTTCTTTTCCCGACCTCCCGTTTTCAAAATGAAGCCGGCAACTCTTGCCTTTCTTCTCGGCCCTGTGGGCATTGTAGCCCGGCCCTGCGGCGGCCATCGCCCTCAGTCGACATCGTCTACAATTTCTTCTTCGGCATATACTGCCACCACACTCACTGCTACAACCATTAACTCTACTGCCACGCTTGTTAGTACTACGCCTGCTAGCCAGTCTACCATTACATCATCCACCGCTTCGCTCACTTCCATATCGGCCCCGTCGGCGACTTCCTCCGTCACAACGCCGACTAGTCAACAGACTACCCAATCCACCAGTTCTTCTGCCTTGCCGTCTTCCACTTCCGGCAGCAGTTCTTCAGACAGCATCGATCAGCTCTTCAAGGCGAAGGGCAAGCTGTATTTTGGCACAGCCGCCGACTCAGGAACCTTGTCTAAGTCTCAGAATGCTGCTATCATTAAGAAAGACTTTGGGCAGTTGACGCCGGAGAATAGTATGAAGTGGGATGCCATCGAGCCGACTCGTGGGGGCTTTAGCTTCGGCGGCGCCGACGCGCTTGTCGACTTCGCCGTCAAAAATGGCCAGACCGTGCGTGGCCACACCTTGCTCTGGTATCAGCAACTACCGGACTACGTCAAGGCCATCACGGATGCCAAGGAACTTACAAGCGTTCTCGAGAACCACATTAGCACCGTCGTTGGAAGATATAAGGGTAAGATTCGTGCTTGGGTAAGTATCAGCCAACCCCAAAGCATAGCGGGAGCAGACTTTTAATCGAATCTATTCAGGATGTTGTAAACGAGATTTTCAACGAAGATGGAACTCTCCGTGACTGTGTCTTCACCCAGGTGCTGGGCGAGGATTTTGTCCGCATCGCATTCGAGGCAGCACGTAAGGCGGACCCGGATGCGAAACTTTACATCAACGACTACCACCTCGAGAGCGGCACTTCGGCTAAAACCACAACCGGCATGTTCGATCACGTACAGAAGTGGCTTGCCGCCGGTATCCCGATCGACGGAATCGGCCTCCAAGGGCACCTCGGAGGCGGCAATCCCGATGCTAGCGGCGAACAAGCCGGCCTGGAGAAGCTTGCCACGACCGGCGTTTCTGAACTAGCTATTACCGAGCTAGATATAGTCAACGCTCCAGCCGATCAATATGTAGCTGTTACCAACGCTTGCCTTGCTGTAGAGAAGTGTGTCGGAATTACTGTATGGGGTGTGAGCGACGCTGTAGGTACCTTTCTTAAGCTAGATTTATGGCATATACTAAGATTCTGTAGAACTCCTGGCAATCTCAGAGCACCCCTCTCCTCTTCGACGCCAGCTACCAACCTAAAGCAGCCTATGCAGCTATTGTCAAGGCTCTTTCGTAAACTCGGTACTTATCTCTGAACAACCGACAATTAAAACCCATCCGCCACCTCTTATGATAGAGATGAATATCTAGAGAGCTTACATAGATGACCATAATCGTAATAATTTAACAATCCCTTACTTTACCTTTGTCACATCCATGATGGTCTTCATACCAAATTATACCTAGGTACACACCTAATAGGTACCAACTAAATGCCAATCTACCTACCGATAGTCCTTCGCATTTCCAACGTAGCCGGGTATAATTGGACTTCTAACATCCATTGTCGCGTACATTTTGATACCTGGGTACCTATCACTGGTGTCACCTACCTAATCAGTGCCAGCTGCCGAGATGCAGAAGGCCGACAACATCCATATTCTTTACCTCGATGCCGATTAGGCTAACGTTCTCTCTCCCACTCTCATTTTGAGAATGCGAACTTGCAGTTTGACCATCGCTGTCAATAATGAATTGTGCGTCCGCGTAACCTGTCTCAGCAAACGTAATCTCAGCTACATTGTCATTGCTCCGTATTATAGTGCGAGTTGCAGAGCTTGAAGAAACTCATTGCATTGGTCTGAATTGGAAGGCGCTGGCAGACATCTGCTCTAAGTAGTCCTCAGAGCTGGTGTCTACGTCGCTTTGTCTACGTCGCTTTCCGGAAGGAAACCACCGAAGCCTTCTCTCATAGGACAAAGCCGTATCTAAGAAAATTCCCGCCATAATAATGATCAAGGGCTGACGTATGGTCTATCTGGTCCCTTAGCGCATCGAGCTTAAAGTGGCCACTGCTTCCGACTATGTGGATAACAGATGGTTTCTGAGTTGAGCGAGAATATACGGATTTAAAATAATCCCTACGGATATAGAGGTATCCTGGGAGGGAGAATATGTATGAGAGAACGTTTGTCGCAAAAGTAAGGTACTTAGTCTCCGCTGTTATCAATAAATCAATCTATCTTGTGGGTGCTCCGTTATGAGAAACTAATAGCAGAAACAGACCAGCAAAGCCACTGTAGATGTTCGACTATTCTAAGTTAGTAGGGACACAGGAAATCTCCTTAGACATATATATGAATTACCAGTTACCACGATAGAAATTTGTTGTATGATTCGTACTTAAGTAGATAGGAGTACTTAATATAGGGGGTTTCTTTACCTACTTGGGGGAATACATTCAAAATACTTATCGCCCATGCTTATAAGTGCTCATCTCTACCTACCTACCGTAGCGGGAACTCCTGGATTGCGAGAATGATTCTAAACTTTATACAATCATTACATGCATAAGATCAAATGTAATTGAGTACTTCCATTCTTTACGTAAGAACTATTCTATCTATTCATACCTATCTATACATGTTCAACAATGTGCTTGATGCTGTAGCTATCATGCTATGCCATGTCACGTCATTTCAGTCATGAAAACACTCGGGGAAGGGCCTTTGAAGATCATAGTTCATAATTTCTTATCTACCTTGTAGGCATCTACCTAGTGTGTATTGTGGTTAGTTCAAGCAGGTATCGCAAGTATAATTGACGTACATAGAAGAGGGCCTTTTGTGCTTATGAACTATTATCATGACCCGATCATACAACGTGAACTACCTAACTGCATAGGCGCCAACCTGATTCTATCATGTATGTTAACCGAATGTTGGGTTCAACTGGTGTCCTCCCTTCTTACTCTAATCGACGGTCTCGTCAATTGCGAGCCTATCTTGGGTTAGTAGTGTCAATGATGAGTTGGTACGTATAAGATCATCCAAAGATCATACGCTAATTTGACCTACGGTTGAATCATCGGGCGGGGAAGACTGCATGTTGCGGGGCATCATACCATACAATCACCATGTAATCGAGGTTAAGATCGTGCCGTAGTACTGCTGCGCCGATGCGGAAGCACATATTTTGTTGACTTGTTCAACACCTCGAATGCTTCGTAGCAGCTGAAACTCAAATAGAATATTATATCGCCAGCGAGTGTGGATTGTTTCCCACCGTTTTGTACAATTCTCTGAGCTCAAAGGCCTCGTGGCCGCCTTCGGGTACCTCACCGACTACCCGCGCGGGCTGACCAGCAACGATGCTAAAGCTTGGTATAACCATATTGGGAGGTATGACAGTACCATCTAGGATTCGAACGTAATCTTTAATGATGGCAAACTCTCCAACGACGACGTTATGGCCGATGTATGTGTGGCTTCCGACGGTGGCTGCTTGAACAACGGTGCTGTCGCCAATGAAAACATGATCGCCTAGTCTGAGAGGGAGATACGTGAAGGATCTAGAAAATGGCACACTATTAGCAAAGAGCTACAAAACCAAATCAAGCCTGTTGGCGCATAGAAACAACTAACCCTTTGTATATGCGACCCGGCGGGCGTAGACAACATCCTCTGCTGAGATAACAGTATCGACCAATAGCGACAGCAGTGTTGCTACCGGGAGCGGCGGCGCCGGAGCTCGAAGTAGGTTGGGTGGTTCTGGCCAAGTCGCCTCGTATCATGGCTTCGGCTTGTATGACGGTCTTGCCGCCTAGCATAATGTGTTGCGTTCCGATTAAGATGGCTTTTCGGGATACTTTATTTCCAGTGTCCTGCGAAGATATGTTAATAAATGCCGACGGGAGTTCTACAGGGGTTTAGAAGCTTACCGTTTCAATGTATTCGCCTTTTACCTGCTTCCTCGACATTTTGACGGTTGGCGGAGGTTATTATTAGGTACCTACCTAGTAGGTAAGTGATAGTCTGAGGTTGAAATGTTGAGCTTAAGATGAAATTGCCAAGGTGGCTTCCAAGGTTACTAGATTGAAAACGCGACGCGAACGCACCTGCAGCTTATCGAGTATTTTACCCCACTATCCGAGTCCCACGCAAGGAAACAATGCGCACCTATCAGTTAATCACAAATGCTGTTACAAGGTGGGATTATGAATGGAAATGGAATAATGGCTTTTATGTCTACCCGGGTACACGTACAGGTAAACATTTAAAGGCATTGATGCGCTCGATTATAAGGTATTGCTCGGCTTAGTTCCATTGTTGAACTGAAGATGTTTCTCGAGTTCTTCGAAAAACAATTACTTTGCAGCTTTTGTCTCCGGAATAAACGACAAAGGGGGAGTGTTACTAGATGAACAAATAATAATAACATATTTTTTTATTCTTACACGGGCTACCCATATCATGTAAAACACTTATATTTGTTTACATGGTTCTGTTTTATATCTCGTAGCAATTCTGAGGGTTTCATTCTAGTCTTAAGGTGCTGTACCTGACCCAGCCCTCCTCCTTCGATTTACCTTCCTCGGGGGCTCGATAATTAAGATTTTGATATTATGTATGAGGCCTGGTATATCTGTATTATGATATAGAGTGAGACTGCCCGTGCAGTACCCCGCCAGAATCAAAGGTACCTCTCCCCGCATACAAATTGTTGTACAACTACTTGTACTCGCGATGACTCAATTAACACAAAACAAAAACCTTATTTCACCTGTACACCTTCAACTTGTTTTCCTTCGATGAAATAAATCAACATAGATATGATCCTTGCTTTAATCGAAAGAGCTTTAATAATAAATTCGATCGGTATACGGTGCAGTTGTTACAGTGGGAAACTAATAAAAATATAAGTGGTTTAAATAAAAAACATACTTCGGCAATACGGCCAACATTTCCGCTAAAACTGAAAGCTATCAGATCCACCACTAAAGTATACGTTTCAGTTTAACCTATCTTTTCGCAATCAGTTCGAATGTCAGATCTCCGCGATTTAGGGTTAGGGTTAGGGTTAGGGTTAGGGTTAGGGTTAGGGTTAGGGTTAGGGTTAGGGTTAGGGTTAGGGTTAGGGTTAGGGTTAGGGTTA